TCCTGTACTCCACAGCTGGAACAACCCTCCGTCCTCCGCTTTCCTAGGACAAACAAGATACCGGTGAAAGGGTAAGGCCAGCAGCATCACCCCCATGCTACAGCAGAGGAAACTGAGGCTCAGAAGGTGAAGGGAATAAATGGCAGAGCCAGGGCCAGAACTCAGGACTCCTGGCTCTTGGTCCAGGGCTCTTGCCCCCAGGCTGCATGGCAGGTGGCGGGAGGTGAATGTGTGGGCCTCTGAGGGCTGCTGCCCACTAGGCCCAGCTCAGAGGAGAGCAGCTCTCTTGGGCCTGTAACATCTTGCTAAAGGGAGGAGAAGGGAATGAAGGCCAGTGTGACCTGCCTTCTGCATCTCCCCTCCTTCGCTGTCTGTCCCCAGGGGTCCTAGGTGAGATGGCTTCATGCAGAAGCCAAGGTTTCTCTGCTAAACTAGCACTGGATTAATAGCTCCCTTCCTTCTTGTCTTCATTCTCATCCCTCCCAGGAGGGCACAGTGGGCACCCCCCCCCTTCAAACCATGTGCACACACACACTTCAGCCAATGCTGGCATACATAACTAAATGCAGGGTTCCCATCCCAGTGTGTGGTGGGCTCTGGGATGACAGGAGCAGGCGGGGATTTAGTGGAAACTTAGGGAGAAGTCCCTTTACTGAGGGCTCTGGAGGAGAGGTGTCCTGAACCAGCTGTCCTTGGGAGGGATGTTACCTGGAAGTGAAGCAGCACTAGCAAAGGGGGCCTGACCTCCTTCCCCCAGACCAGCTGGGCAGCTTCTGGGAGAGGCTAGGGACACCTGGGTCTCCCAGAACACGGGTTTCCTGACTTGTGCATTTTCTTTGAAGATGAAGATGGGCAGGCAGGGATGGCCGGAGTCCATGGGAATACGGCTGCAACTGCGTCTGCTGCTGCCATTGATCACTGCTGGGCAGCCCACATCCTTGGAGACCTGAGACTCCGTGCAGCTGGTGGTGAGCCACCTGTCCGGTGGGGCTTGGGATAAGACTAAATTGATTCTTTCAAGAGCCCAGGGTGCCCTCTTGAGGATGCCTGAAGAATCTCACCGTCTTTGTCCTAGACAGACTGTGTGGCTGGCTCTCAGCCTTTTCTCTCCTTTCTGCTCTGTCCCTGACCCTTCCAATTTCTTCTTCACCCACAACCCTCCCAGAGCCCAGCCCCCCCACCTACCCTTCTCCAGAGAGACACTTCATTTTGAGGGGCCTCTCATGTTAAGGGTCAGCAAGGCCCTAGCACCCCTAGGGACCTGGCATCCTGGGGGAGAGTGCCCATGGTTTGGACTTGTCCATCAAAGCCACCCCTCCACATATCTTGGGGCCTGGAAGCATCTTTCAGCAACATGATGGCATGTCTTTATGAGGCGTGGGCCACGTGACGTGACTCACGCCTGTGATCCCAGCACTTTAGAGACCAAGGCTGGAAAGTTGCTTGATCCCAGGAGTTTGAGACAAGACTTGGCAACATAGTGAAACCCTTTCTCTACTAAAAATTAAAACAAACAAACAAAAAACCAGCCAGGTGCAGTGTTGTGTGCCTGTAGTCCCAGCTAATCAGGAGGCTGAGGCAGAAGGATTACTGGAGCCCAGGTGTTCCAGGTTGCAATGAGCTACGCCACTGCACTCCAGCCTGGGTGAGATCTTGTCTCTAAAAAAAAAGAGAGAGACATGAGTAGCACTCTAGAACCCCCACCCATAGAACCAAGCTCTCCCAGACCCTGGAAGCACCTGCCTGGGTCCCATACAGAGCTGACTCTGGCCTGTCGAGATCTTGATAGCTCTCAATGTTCCCTTCTGATGGTGATGGCTCTTAGGGCACAGATGAGCAGAAGATGAAGGGGTGTGTGGCAAGAATCAGGAAGACCAGTCCCTGATCCACCACATAAGGCCAGGTAATCTGGTTAAGTGTCTGTACCAGAAATAGGTCATTGGGTGAGCAACACCCAGCCCAGGCTGGCCTGTGAAGGTCTCTCTATGTCTATACTGCTTCCCTGATCACCTTAAGGGAAACAGAAATGGGTCCTAGGAGGAGAGTGCCAAGCCTCTCCTCCTTTGCTACCCCTGCTAGAACTAGAGGGTCTCTTAAAGGGGGAATCACTTATAAAAATGTGTCCTTTGCAGTAAGGAGCCACCATTCAACTAATGATCCAATGGCAAAGTCCCCCGAGCATTCCCTAAAGGGGCTGGACGTGGCCGGGCAAAGTAATCCGGGATCTTTAAGGTGCCTGCGTCAGAACTGGGGCTAGACTAGCGCAGCCTAGAACAGGAGAGCTGTGCACCCTCGAAGCAGCAGACCAGAGCCAGTGGAATTGAAGTCGGATGTAAGATCCCTGCATCTTCAGCAGGTGTTGGTCAGGGGCTGTGGGTTCCCCCACCACTGTCCCCACTGCCTTCATTCTCCCCGAAGTAGAGAGGGTGGACTCCCCTACACACATCCTCATGGGCTGCATGCCATCCGGGTGAAGCTGGGAGGCACAGGGCTGGCCCAGCAGCCTCCTCCTGCCCTGAACACCCACTCCACCTTGACCTCATGGAGCCAATGTGAATGCCTGGGCCTCTCCCCTGGTTCAGCACTCTTTCCTCTCTCTGGTTTATTATGCATACACACACCCTTTTTTCAGAAGATGCAGGGAATTGGGGATTTTGTTTTTTTGACTGTCTTTTGTTTTTTGGTTTTTTTTTTTGAGACAGAGTTTCACTCCTGTTGCCCAGGCTGTAGTGCAGTGGCACGATCTCAGCTCACTGCAACCTCTGCCTCCCAGGTTCAAGCCATTCTTCTGCCTCAGCCTCCTGAGTAGCTGGAATTGCAGGCACATGATACCAGGCCTGGCTAATTTTTGTATTTTTAGTAGAGACAGGGTTTATCCATGTTGACCAGGCTGGTCTTGAACTCCTGATCTCAGGTGATCTGGCCACCTTGGCCTCCCAAAGTGCTGAGATTACAGGTGTGAGCCACTGCGCCCTGCCTATTTTGGACTTTTTTTTTTTTTTTTTTTTTTTCTCCTTCCAACCCAGGTGTCCCTATTAGCTGTTCACTAACGATTAATATTTTTTTTTTAAATTGTTTAAATCCTTCTGGGTGGAGCCCTTTGGGGTTGGAGGGTCCAAGGAGGGAAAATGAGGACTGAAACACCTCCTGCCTACCTTCCTCTCCCTCTGCTACTATTGAGTGGCCCAAGCATCTCCCCTGCGGTCCAAGCTCCATCGTCCTTTGCTCATCCAGGGAAGCGGGTCTCTGGCTTTCCAAACTGCTGCACTCCAAGCCTAGTCAAGGACCACCAAGCCTTTAATGGCCCCTAATTTGGGGCCATTAAGCCCCAAAATTCTCCCCTTTGCCCCAAGCCCACCATGTCCTCCAACCAAGGCCAGGAGGTCTGGGTCTGTGCTGGGTTCCCCATGGCCCAGTGGTGATGGGTACTCCTGTGGGACATTTGGACTAGGCTTACCCCCATTTCCAGCTGTTGAGGTGGCACCTGGGCTGTGCCTGGGAAAGAAGTCAGGGGACGGTGCTGGTCTAGCGGACACAGCCGCAGAGGAGTTTTTGGTTTCTTGTCTCCACTGGAAAAATAACTTGGGAATTTGGTTTATTTTAAACTCTAGTTTTTTAATTTTTTGAGATGGAGTGTCACTCTGTCACTCAGGCTGGAGTGCACTGGTGCAATCCAGCTCACTGCAACCTCTGCCTCCTGGGTTCAAGCAATTCTCCTGCCTCAGCCTCCCAAGTAGCTAGGATTACAGGCACCCCACCACCACACCCGGCCAATTTTTGTATTTTTAGTAGAGACGGAGTTTCACCATCTTGGCCAGGCTGGTCCTGAACTCCTGACCTCATGATCCACCCACCTTGACCTCCCAAAGTGCTAGGATTACAGGTATGAGCTACCACACCAAGCCTAAACTCCGGTTCTTAAAATGCGTGGCAATTTCTCATGGGCTGGTCCATCAGATGCTGTGGTGCTCTGAGGGGAAAGGGCCCAGAGAAGGGCAGTGCATGCTGTTTAAAAATATCCTGAATGTGTGTGGGCCTTGGCTTTTTTTGGAATGGGTTGAGGTTATTTCTGGCATGTGGTGTCAAGACAAGTGTATTCATTTTAACTTCAACACTTGCCGTAAATAAACTGGAAATGTGGACCACCGCTCCTCCGCAGGGGCTGAGGAGGAAGAAAAAGATGACAATGTGAAGGGCTGTCATAGCTCAGGGGTCACCTCTGTTCCTGCCACCCTGCCACCCCCTAAAGAAAGCATGACTTCCTCCTGGGACAGTAATCGGGCCAGAGCGGGACTGGGGTCTCTGTCGCTGCAGGCGGTGGGGTGGGAGTGGGGGTAAGGCGCTAAGAGAGAATGAATGAAATGAGAAGCCTGGGTTGCCTCACAGATCTTCTCCTTTAAGACACAAGAGAAGCCAAACAAAAGATAAAGCCTTTGAACAGAAGGGTAAGGCAACCTGACCAAGATCACACGTCTTCAGCATCAGAGCTGAGCCCAGGGGCAAGGGCGGTGGGGAGGAACTGTTGGCCTCCTCCCTCCCTTCCACCCTTGAACACTCGCTGATCCTGAGGGTGGAGGCGGGGCACTACACAGACCTGACTTAGGGTGCTGCGTGTCAGGGCCAGCACTCTGTGCCAGACAGGGAGCCAGGGGCCATGTGGTTTTCTACCAGTTGAAGAGTCTGGATTTTCCTCTAGGCACTGGGAAGCAGTGGATGTATTTTAAGCAGACATGAAGTGTCACATTTTCTCTTGAAATACCACCCCGGAGGCCAGCCACAGTGGCTCACGCCTGTAATCCCAACACTTTGGGAGGCTGAGGTGGGTGGATCAGCTGAGGTCAGGAGTTTGAGACCAGCCTGACCAACATGGAGAAACCCTGTCTCTACTAAAAATATAAAATTAGCTGGGCATAGTGAGCCGAGATCACATCATTGCACTCCAACCTGGTCAAGAAGAATGAAACTCCATCTTAAAAAAAAAGAAAAGAAAGAAATACCGCCCTGGAGGCCACCGCCAATAGTCCAGGCAAGCACTGATGAGGGCTCAGCCTAGCCAGTGCAATGGAGAGAAGAGGCCAGCGCAGAGAGACCCCTGGGATTGAAGTCACAGGATCAAGCAGGAGGGAAGATGAACTCGGCTTTTGGCTCAGGCTGGTGGTGGCTGTATTCAGTTCCTCAGGCTGCTGTAACAGTGCGCCACATATTGGGTGACTTACAACAACAGGAATGTATTCTGTCATAGCTGAGGCCAGGAGTCTGGAATCAAGGTGTCAGCAGGGTTGGCTCCTCCTTGAGGCTCAGTGGGAGAATCTCTCTCCGCCTCTCTCCAAGCTTCAGGCGGCTGCCAGCAGCCCTGGCACTCCCGGCTCGCAGACGCCTCACTCCCGTCTCTGCCTACGTCTCCACGTGGCCAACTCCCGTGTGTCTGTTTCACACGCTTGTCTTCCCTTGCGTACGTCTGTGTGCCCAAATTTCACTCTACTTATAAGGACACGAGCCACTGGAGTAGAGCCACCCCAATCCAATATGACCTCATTTTAACTTGATTATAGCTGCAAAGACATTATTTGCAACTAAGGTCACATGCGCATTCCTGAGGGCTAGAAACATTCCTTGGGGGACACAATTCATTTTACCCATGACACTGGCTGTGGGCCTTCCACTGACCTTGAGCACATGTGTTTTTCACTCAATGAATGGTCACAGGCCAAAGTCTGGGACAGTCTTTATTGGAGCTTGGAATGTCATAGCAATTCACCCTCATCAGAGGCAGACTGTGAGAAAGAGCAGCAATGTGGTGGACCCCCAGCAGGGGGAAGGCCGGGCTACATGAAGGAGCCCTGCTCGCCTGCAAGCAGGGCACAGGCGCACACGCACACACTCTCCTACGTGAACTTACACTCACACCTGCGCACTCGCTGCCGGTGGGTCGGAGGCCAGGTACCTCGGGCTGCTCCCCTCCTCATGGAGAGGCCTCCTCCACTCTGGGGGAATCCGCTGAGCTGAGACAGGAGGGAACCACTTGAGGATCAGGGATGAAGGATCTGGAAGCTGGAGGCATTTTGCAGTTAGGGAGAAGGGATCCAGGACAGGAGGGATGGCCAGGGACCAACCAAAAGGAGCTGGAGAAGGCCCTGCGGGGCCAGGGAAGGGGAAGCAGATGCTGGAGATGGGCAAGGGAAGGGGAGGGGAGAACATCTCCTCTCCTTCACTCACTGCAACCTCACTGCCGGGGACGCGCCCTGGGCACAGAAAGCCTGGGGAGCATCAAGAGGTCCCCTGCATCCTAGGAAGGCACTGAAATGGGGAACAGATCCTGGGAGCTGGAGTCTTCCCCAAGCACCCCAAAGGGGACAGGAAGGGAAATGGTGAAGCAGGAATGGTCTCACATGCTGATTGGGGCAAGGAGATTGGGGAAGATAGATTCTGCTTCTCACCCCAAACAGTGGGGTGCGGGGTGGGCTGAGATGCAGCCCCTCTGGCCAGCAGAGGGGAGAGAGGGCCAGGGCTGCCCCTTTGGTCTCAAGGGCAGTGAGGGGGGGAGCCTGGCCTCACCCATGTGTCCGTGGTAGGGGGAGGAGGCAGGAGTAGCGAGTAACCAGAGCCTCCTGCCCCCGGGGCCAGGGCTACCAGAGCACGGCCCCATCCATGTTCCCGTAGCCTGGCTCGGCCCGCAGCCTCCAGTAGGTATTGTTGGTCACCCACCATTCCTTCCCACTGCTGTCTGTTTGCCGCCTGGTGGGAGAAGGCGGTGGCAGTGAGGGTGAACATCTAGAAGGCAGGCTAGTGCCCTAAGGCACTGCCTCCCATGCCTGCCCTGCTCCAAGCAGGGCTAGGGGGAGACCCAGGGCAGAGGGCAAGGCCGAGGCACCTGAAGAAGCGAGCCTGGTGGACGATGTTGTTCTCCTCCATGACTTTGCGCCTGTCCCGCTGCAGCTGCTCGATCCTTCTCTTCTGGGCCTCAGCGGCCTGTATGTTCCCCTCCTCCAGGTACCTGAGGATCCAGATCGAACTCAGTGGAACTGCCCATCTGCAGGGGCCCCCAGTCCCAAGGCCGCTGTCCCTGCCCAGCTCTGTCCCCTAGACAAGCCCCATTTCTCTGAGGCCACTCAGTGAAGGAAGGACAAAGCCCCAGCTCTGTGGTCCTCGGAAACCCGTGAGGATGGAGTGAGCCAGGTGGTTCTAGGCCAGCACCCATGCGGCACTGACCTCTGGTCTGGCCGGAGCCTCGTGTCAGTGGAAGGCAGCGACCGTTTCAGCTCTGCTGTCAGCTCATTCAGTTCCAGGGCAAACTGGGTGAAGCCGAAGTTTCGCTCATGGTCAGGGGGCATTGAGTCTGGGGGAAGGCAAGGGGCTGGGGCAGGTGAACCGGGCCTGAGCCGCTCCAGCCTCACCCAGCCCTCTGTGACCCCTCCACTTACTGGGTTTCCAGATGCACTGGCCGCCCGGTGTGGGTCCCCGGTACAGCCCCTCGTGCCACTTCCCAAAGAGTCGGTGGAGGACACGGCCGCTCCGACTGAGCACAGCACCCTGCACCTCGTGGACATTGGAACTCCAGTACTTGGCCTGGGACAGGGAACACAAGGTTTAGAGAGGTGTTCCCTCCCCCTTAGCCAGGGTGACCTCCAGAGGCCGAGGCTGCCAGGGGTGGATGGGCAGGGTCAGGCTGGCATGTGCACCTTGCAGAAGGTGATCTTGCAGTGGCAGGAGCTGTCCTGTGTGTTTCGGATGAGCACCTCCCCATAGTGCTCGATCCAGCGCTGGCCGCTCAGGACGTTGTGAATGCAGGACGTCACCTTGTTCCACTCAAAGTGGTCCCCAAACCTGAGAAAAACAAAGTATGGAAGGGCAGCTGGCTGGCCTCGAGAACAAGTGAGTTAGGGGCCTCCTGTCTTGCTGGAGCACGTCACATGGGTGTGACAAGAACCCTGGGGTCCTGGCTCAGTTCTGCAGTGAAGGATGACTTCTATTCACAAGGCAGAACAGCCTTGACAGAACGTGGTCAATGAACACGTCTCCACTCATCTAGAAAGCTCCCGAGTGCCTAAGCAATGGGGTTGAAAACACACAAAGTGTCCTGCCCTTGGGCGCCAGGGACCCTGGGTACATTCACATCCATTATCCTGCTTAAGCCTCACCCCTCAGGTGTTGCTTCTTACTGTCCTGCCACAGGCAAGCAGGCTCAAGGCTCTGAGGTGTCAAGTCTTCTTGCCGCTTGCATCGCTTTTTTTTTTTTGAGACAAAGTCTTGCTCTGGGAGTCTCGCTGTATTGCCCAGGCAGGCAGGAGTGCAGTGCAGTGGCGCAATCTCAGCTCACCACTACCTCCACCTCCCACGTTGAAGCAATTCTCCTGCCTTAGCCTCCCCAGTAGCTGGGACTGCAGGCTGGCACCACCACTACTTAGGCTGGCTAATGTGCATCACTACGGAATGGCAGAACTCCCAGCTTCCAACTCCAGAATCCAGGATCTCTCCCATAACACCCAAACCATTCTCAATACCCTTTTTCTTTCTGCCTTCAGCCCCCTGCCTGTAAAATTAGCTAGATGAGAGTTTTTCAAATTTTGTCGGTGACCCATAAGTCCTAAGATCAATTTAGGTTTCTGTGTGCGTGTATGTGTACGCGTTGGCTTGAAGATTCAAAGGCATTTCTGACTGTGAGTCATGGTCCAAAAAGTGTGAAAGCCGCTGAGTCAGATGACCTCAATAGGCCCTTCCAGCTCTACGATGTTCTAAGGCTTTTCATCTTTCTCTATTGCTAACAGCTGTAAATATAGGTGCAAAACCTACAGACACTCACCCCACTGCAAGCAGCTGCAGGCCAGACCTTCCTATCCCGTCCTTATCCTGTCCCTAAGCCCATGCCCCCTCCAGCCTGAAGGACCGCCTGTCCCTTCAGCCTGAGGGACCGCCTGTGGCTGGGCCTGGCTGCTGAGAGCCTGAGAATCCTACCTGGGCAGGCTGACGTTGACTGTCCCCACAGGCACAATCTCCAGGGATTTGCCCCAGAACTTGTTCTTCCACTTCATGTCTGGCATTGAGTTGGGAGGGAGAGAGAACAATGGAGATAAGGCCCGAGAGCACTCTCTTGGCCCAGGGCCACCCCGCCCTGCTCTCCACTCCTCACCTTGCCAGAAGGTGAAGTTCTCAGACTCCGCATGGCAGGCCGAGATAGGGGGGTGGTGGGAGACCTTGGAATGCAAAGAAGTTCTCTTGAGGCTGCCCCCTAGCACCATCAGGGCACCCCAAAGTGCCTTATTCCCACCCCCAGTTCCCCTGAGTACCACAAGACCAGTTAGTTCCAGGTCTCTTGTCCCTGTCACCCTTGGCCACCTCCCAAATCCATCATCCTCTTACTCCCATGAGGCTCCTGTGCTCTCCCTTCTCCCTCCCTCTTTCTCAGGAGCTCCCCTGGCTGGCCCTGTCTATGGCACCCTCCAGAATCCCTGCTCAAGCCTGAAAAGCTCCCTGCGACATTGACAGGTGGGGCCTCATTGACCCCATGCGCTGCCTGAAACCCAGCCCTGGCTGACTGCCCTCCCACACCATCTCCCCCACCCACCCCAAAGCTGATCATCAGCCTGCAACCTCCACCACATACTCTTAGAAACACTTGTCCTTGTCCCCACTTGGAATGGCTCCACGTCTGGAGCCTTCAGCTCTGACATCTGACAGCCTGTCTGCCTGCCTCGCCTCTCTCCATTCCTTGTCACCCACAGCTCCAGCCAAGATGCCCAGGTCCCTGACTGCACTACTCTCCCAGTCTGTCATCCCCATAATGCCCCTCACAGCTCTCTCACCTGATACCCTCAATTACCTACCCCACTTGCCAGAAATGCCAGCTCCGGCCTCCTCTGTGCACCCCTGACTCTGACTTTGCTACCAAAACACAGACATGACCCACATCCACACTAAGAAACTGCTAATTTTACAGTGTTCTATATCTGGGCCCGGACACCCCCATCAAACCCGCTCTGAGGATCTAGACACAAGCCAGGCCCTTTAAACCTCATTCGCCTCCCACAGTCCGCAGGAGAACAGAGCTGGGTCAGGGAGGAGGTTCGTGCTGTTCAGCCTGCTCCCCGCGATGCCCCCCAGGCTCCCACCTCCTCCTCATCCTTCTGCACCTCGGTCTTTCCTTCTTTATTTCTCTTTCTCTCTGAATATAAAGATTTTCTGTTTCTTCCACCTTAAAAAATAGCAAACCTTTCTTTTCTAGACACACACATCTTTGTTCACATATGCGTAAAACATTTCTGGGAGGCATCCCAAAAGCTGGTAGCAGTAGTCCCTTCAGAGTGTGGGGATGAGACGAAGGCTTATTTTTTGTTGTACGCATGAGTGTACTGTGTGAATCTTCACCATGTTTTCAAAAACACCTCAAATCCAAACAAACAAACACACAAACAAACTGCCTTGACCTTTATTCCCCACCAGCTGCCATCTTCTCTCTCCCCTGTCCCACGTGGTAAAATTTTTGTGAAAATAGTCTGCATTTTTCTCTGTTTTGTTCATAACCTACCCTCTGCACCCACTGTAATCCAGTCTCTGTCCCCACCTTGTCTTGGAAACCTTCCTCATGCAGGAAGCCAGTGGCACCCCCCAGGTCCCAGGGACTTATGTTCCTGCCCCTTTGGGGCTCCCCAGCACTCCTGCCTGCCCTCCTCCCTAGACACAGTGGGCAATCCTCCCGTGGGCAGTCCTCCTGTGACGTCCTCCTCCCTCTAAGCTGGCCACTCCTCGACCTGTTAGCGCCACCTGGTGCTCTAGGAGGAGCTCCAGGCCAGCGACTCCGGAGCTCCTGAACATCTCCGGTGGAAGTCAAGCCACTTAGACGGTGTGCGCTCACACACACACTCTCCACCTCGCTAACTGGCGCCGCCATGCACTCACTGAATCCCCCAGACCAAGCCACGCAGACTTCTCCCTCTCATCGACAACCTCCCCATCCCCTACACATGATAGTACCCTGCTGAGCACCAGGCCCTGTCAGGGGCGGTGCATAAACAGCTCTTGAACTAAACACACCGCAGCCTAAGCGCAGGGCTGAATCAGCTCTACGGAGATGGCAAGACAGACCCCGTCGGCTTACCCCAGCCAGGCACATGCCACCCAAGTGTGCTTTGCACACTGTGACTCTGAGCACCCATTCCAGCCTCAAATCCTCCATTGTGCCAATGCCTACAGGATTTTAAAACGCTCATACAAAAGCCCCAAGCCTCCTTCCCTTCACTGGCAGGGCTCCTCAGGGTCTGGCCCACCTTGTCTTCCAGCCCCATCTCTATCCTTCCCAAGCCTGCTCCATGCATTCCTCTACACCATTTGGAAGGAACATCCCATTCTCCCCAGCCCGTGGACTCCCAGCTCTCTCCAATTCATCCTCCAGTTCATCCGAGCCCAAGATTGGCCCCTAGAGCATGAGCCCCAGGCAGAACTCCTGGGATCCCATGGCTGGACTCAGAATGGGCCAGGAGCACCACAGAGCCTGGCACAGAGCCGACTGCCCACACTCCTCTCCCAGACCCTGGTCCCTCTGCCCCAGCTCTGGTCCCAAAGTTCAGTCCCTTCTGGCCCCAGCTACCCAAGGCCAGCCCTCTGCTCCTGAGGCCACACCTGCTCGCTGATGAAGCGGAAGCCTCGGTCAGGCCGTTCACACTCGTAGGTCTCCCCCAGGACGGGGTTGAAGGGCTTGCAGCCGGCTCGGTGGTATGTGGAGGAGTAGGCTGAGACAGCAAAGGCTGCGATGTACACCTGTGGCGGGCAAGGCAGGTGCAGGGCCCTGAGGATGGGGCCGCCACCCCAAGCAACCAAGGTACGGGATCTCAGGGTAGAACTTCAGCAGCAAGGAATAGCCCGGCTAGGGTTTTCTGGGAGAAAGGGCCCCGGGGAGGAGGAAGGAGAGAAGGTACCATGCGCTCGCAGGGGTCAGCGATGCGGCTGGCCTGGTCCAGGAGGCTGCTGTACTCCAGCTCCTCGCAGAGCCGCTGCAGCGTGTTGAGTGGCTCATTGAGCTGCACAGGCATGGACACCTTGGACAGGTCTTTGCCGATGTTGTTGCGCAGAATGTTCCACAGGCTCACGTCAGCCCCAGGCCCACTGGCCGCAGGCAGGCAGCGACGGCGGGGTGGCCCCATGGGTCTTCCTGGAACACACCCCACTGGGGCCCGCCCTGCCACGTCACTCTCCATCTGGGCACCAGGCACCCCGGACACAGCAGGCCCGCAGCCTAGTCCAGGGCCGAGCTGCCTCCAAGCCCCTGGGGCACTCATAGTTGTCCTCGCCCCCCAGCCCGAGTCTTGACTCACAGCAGGGCAGGACCACTGGGCTCTAACTGCTGACGACAGTCCCAGGACTGAGCTGCCCGGCAGGGCTGGGAGCCATGCAAAGGTACAGAGGGATCCCACTGCCGGAAACCCTGCAGCCCAGGAGCCCCTCCCAACTCCGCACCCTTGTCTTTTGTCCTCTTTCTAAACACGGAAACAGACGTTAGAGTGCAGATTATCCAGCCCAACTTATAGACGAGGAAATAGGCTCTGAGAAGTAAAATGACAGGTCCAGAGCCACACTGATAACAGCAGCAAAGTGGGATCTCTCGCCTCCCTCCAAGGCCCTAGGCGAGCCTGCTGCTATGGAGGCCAGCCCCAAGGCCTGAGCCTGGCCCACCCCACAAAGCTGCTCCTGGAACATTTTCCGGTTCATGACCTGGCCTTCCTCAGCTCCTGGGGTCAGCATCCAAAGATACTAGACTGTCAGTGACCACAAAGGATGGCCTTTGCATGGGCCCAGGCTATGGACAAACCCTGTTTTTCCACCCGCCTCCCACCCCTCCCTGCCTGCCGACCCAGCTGGCACCTTTCTGACAGCGCTCAGCTCCCCTGAGATCCAGCACCTCCTCAGACAGGCTAGTGGTGATTTCACTGGTGCACGACTCCTCCTCTTCTGAGCCCTGGGCCAGGATAGATGACAGGCCGGGCAGACTGGGCCTCCCCTTGGGCAGCTGGGCAGTGCCCAGGGCCTGGCAAGAATCTGCCCAGCTAGCCCTTTGGTGGGAAGGGGAAGATAATGTACTGGGGGAGCTCTGAGCCCTAGGACATTGCCCCAGGAGGCCTGGCATCACATCACAGAGCGTGCCCAGCCACCTCGGGAAGGGGAGGGCCCGGCGCTGCAGCTGGTGGGAGGGACACAGAGTCTTGGCGGGACACAGAGAGAAGGGAAAGTGAGGACTGCTGAGATTCAGGGTCTGAGAAGAGGGATCAAGGGAGCGCTAAAGCTGAGACAGAGGCATGAAGATGACTGAGGCTGTGACTGAGGCAGTAGCTTCAGGAGAACCCAGTGGGGATGAACACGTCAAACTCCTCTAGAAGAGTCCTCAGCAGAGACTTCTGAGCAGGACCACACAACCCAACACATCTGGACATATTCCCAGAGACAGCAGCTGAGGTGAGAAGGGGCTGAGGACTCTAGGGCCTCTAGTCTCTGTGGACCCCACCCTTCTGTTCCTGAGGTCCCCCCCCCCCCCGAACCACAGCCAGCTTCCCTCCTCCCTCACCTCATTCTCAGAAGAGCTGGCGGAGAGGAGAACCTCACAGGCATCGAAGAACTCCGTGTGGGAATCAGCAAGGGACAGGATGCTGCTCTGTGACAGCTGCGGGGTGAGCTCGCGCCCCTTCATGTACAGAGCTTCTTGCTGTGGGAGCAGCCAGATGGAGGTCAGGCCCCGGGGCCAAGCCGGGGGATCAGGCAGGGCACCCCTTGCCTGACAGTTCCCTTGAGAGGGAGGCGTAAACAGACACTTTTGCTGTCTGAGTCAGACACTGAACAGAAGAGGCAGCGGGGAGCGAGCAGGACACGAAGGCGTAGTGGAACGAGCCCCGGCCTGGAAGTGAGGGGTGCAGGCTCCAGGATAACTGCTTACACTGCCTGCCCCTGCCCCTGAGCTCCACTCCAAGCCCTTTGTGTGCACTAACCCACTCAACCCTGATACCCACCCAGTGAGGTAGGCGTAATTATCTCCCCCACTTTGCAGACTGGGACACAGGCTCAGGATCACAAAGCCGGCAGGCAGCGGAGCCAGATTCGAACCCACGGAACGCAGCCTCCGAGTCTGTGCTCAGAGCCTGAGTCCCAGTTCAGCCAGTCTACAATGGCAGGAGCCGGAGCCCATCCATTAGATCCTTTGAGCCTCAGCTTTCTCATCTCGAGGGTGAGAATCACCGCATCAGAGGACTTGGAATTAAAAGTGAAAGCACCCTGCACACCGATTGCTACACAATGATTGAGATGGGGCTGCCACCGACCTTACGGGAAAGACAATGGAGCCAGGATTTGTGGGCTCTCTTTGGGACTAACAATCAACCACGCCCACTGCCCGGGGCCTTTGCTTCTTCTGGGAGAGAAGGCACAGGAGAATGGGCCCCCACAACCCACCCTGGCTCCGCACCTCCTCAGGGTTGAGGGAGCTGAAAGAGTCTGCTGTGGTGTCGGAGGAGGTGGACAGTGAGTGGAGGCGCCGCTGGCTAGTGGGGACCTCGGAGACCTGCAGGGAGACGGTAAGGGACACGGTGCCAAGAGGATGAGGCCCTCCCCACCTTGCTGCCTCATCTCTGCAGAGACTCGCCCTGCCAACCCCCTACCCTGACCCAGATCTGCAATCGGACCCAAGGCTGGCAATCCTCAGCTTCAAGCCCTATACTCCCACCAACCGCCCTGTCCCCCAGGCCTCACCCCCATCCTTGACAACTCTGAGCCCTGGTGCATGTCCCTTAGTCGGTCCCGTTCAGTGGTAAGGGCGGCCAGGACGCTGCTGAGGGAGCTGTGCACTGTGGGGGCGGGGCAGACCGTCAGAGCCCCACTCCCTCCTGCCCACCCCCCATCAGCCCCTCCCAGCATCACTTACCCTTCTGAGCCAGGGCCCAGAAGCTGCGCTGAAGGTGGGCGTAGTCTGTGGGTGGCAGCCCACGGGTGCCCGAGGAGTCCCGAGACTCCAAGTAGCGAGACAGGTTGGGAACAGAGCCGTGGAGACGACCAACCTGTAGATGAAGGAGAAGGGCTGATGGGGCCAGCCGCCTCAGAGCATCCTGCCCCAGTTATGAGAGGTCCACGCCCCACCTCACCCGTCCAATGGTGTCATCCTTGGCAAAACTCTGGGTGCACCACATGCGGCTGGTCCGTTTCCCCTTCTTGGGTCTTTCGGTTGTCACTGAGGCCTGGCAAGTCAAAGTGGGGGCAATTTTACTCACAGGGTGGGGAAAAGGAGCAGTAACCATCACAACCTGGGAGAGGCAGATGGCCTCCTGAGCCACGGAGGTGGGCGCAAATCACCCAGCATAGAGAGTACAGCCACCCAGGCAAGGTGACAGGGACAACTGATATCCCAGTGGAAGATGATGGCCACCCTGGCAGAGGCATGGGCATGGAGGAAGGAGCAGAGACAACCTTGACATGGTTTGGACATGGGGCAGGGGTAGGGAGGAAACCAGGTGATGTGTGGCTCTCCAGGAAACTGCAGCAATGTGGGAGGAAGAGGACCCATCCTGGGGAAGTGATGGGATCAGGGGCCCTGGGCAGGACCCTGTGTGTCCCTCTGGATCTTACCTGGTGTGTGGGGATAACAGGGGCTGAAGGGATTCGGTGCAGGGACTCCAGGCTCTGGAGGAGCCTGTGTAGTTCCTGGAGCTTCCCCTGACACTCAGAGAGCTCTGGGGGGAGGAAGAACAAAGACATCACTTTCTTTCTTTCTTTCTTTTTGAGATGGAGTTTTCACTCTTGTTGCCCAGGCTGGAGTGGAATAGCACTATCTCAGCTCACCACGACCTCCGCCTCCCGGGTTTAAGTGATCCTCCAGCCTCAGGCTCCCAGCCTCCCAAGTAGCTGGGATTACAGGTGTGAGCCACCACAACCAGCTATTTTTTTTTTTTTTTTTTTTTTTTGAGACGGAGTTTTGCTCTTTTTACCCAGGCTGGAGTGCAATGGCGCGATCTCGGCTCACCGCAACCTCCGCCTCCTGGGTTCAGGCAATTCTCCTGCCTCAGCCTCCTGAGTAGCTGGGATTACAGGCACACGCCACCATGCCCAGCTAATTTTTTTGTATTTTTAGTAGAGACGGGGTTTCACCATGTTGACCAGGATGGTCTCGATCTCTCGACCTCGTGATCCACCCGCCTCGGCCTCCCAAAGTGCTGGGATTACAGGCTTGAGCCACCATGCCCGGCCACTTTTTTTTTTTTGAGACAGAGTCTTGCGCTGTTGCCCAAGCTGTAGTGCAATGGCATGATCTCAATTCACTGAAACCTCTGCCTCCTGGGCTCATGTGATTCTCCTCCCTCAGCCTCCCAGCAGCTGGGATTACAGGCATACACTGCAACACCTAGCTAATTTTTTTTTTTTTTTTTTTTGGTATTTTTAGTAGAGATGGGGTTTCACTATGTTGGCCTAGCTGGTCTTGAACTCCTGACCTCATGATCTGCCTGCCTTGGTCTCCAAAAGTGCTAGGATTACAGGTATGAGCCACTGCACCTGGGCTTGTATTTTTAGTAGAAACAGGATTTCATCATGTTGGTCAGGCTGGTCTCGAACTTCTGATCTCAGGTGATCCACCTGCCTCAGTCTCCCAAAATGCTGGGATTACAGGTGAGCTGAGCCTCAAGGACATGTCTCTCCCAACATTGACTTCATGGAGATCCTGACACTGCTCCCGTTCCCTGCTCAAGTGCTCAGGTCCCTATCCCTGTTAGTGTGGTGTCCCCTGATTTCCCGGGAGGGCCTGAAGCCCAATTTCTACTCTGTCTCTAGACCATGCCTCACCTCTGCTGCCTTTGCACAAGCTGGGGTGCGCTCACCTTTTCTCTCTACTTGGTTTACATTTCTCCCTCCAGGCCAACCTCACAGCTCCCTACTGCAGGAACTGGATTCTAGAGCACACCCCTTCCCTGGCACTAATCCTCAGGCCCCTGCCCTGTGTGGGCATTCAGTATCTGCTTTGTCACAACTCCTGTCCCTGCATCCACGTCATCTATGTGCCCAGACAGACTCTTACTCCTCTGTAAGACTGGGACTCCCCAGGACAGGGCCCAAGTAGACTGGATCTCCTTGTATCAGAGGCTGCCTCATTATACTGGGGCTCCCTGAGATGGGGATGGGGGTACCATTTTCCCCTCCTGCTAATGCTAACTCGACTTGCCAGCTCCGGCCCTACCCTTTGGGCTGCTGTGCCAAGGGCCCCTCACCATGAGAGCAGCGGTCCAGCCCGTCACTGTCCCTCAGCCAGGAAGACACCTTCTCTCTCGGTCCAAGCCCAGGTAGGGCTGAGGCACTAGCTGCTGTTGGAAGCTGGGCACCAGGAACCTGTGGGGTGAGCCCAGGGTCAGGAAGGAGGGTGCCCACCTCCCTGGGTCTCACAGTTCCCCACTGGCCCTGCCCCTACATTGCCATGTTACTTGCTCCCACCCCAGGGTCCACCTTACCTTCCGGTGAGTGGTACTGGGCAGTGTGCTACGGGGCATGTCCAGTCGGTGGGCCAGGCGGTGGGCACGCAGCTGGGCCACCCAGCTCTGGAATAGGTCCTGGGATTTGATCTGCAGAAGTGATGGAGCAGGCGAGGGCTATCGGAAGGGAGGAACCCCTTTGCAAGAGCAAGAAGTCAGGGCTCTGTCCCCAACCAGGGTCTCTTCCTACAGAGCCCAGTTTGTGCAAAGCTCACTTGCAGGGAGACAGAGTGTCAGGTGCCCACGTGTCTGAGCCCTTAGCTCTGTGCCTGTCCATGCAACAACCAAGAAGTACAGGTCTGCCCTTGGCTGTTTTTACAGGATGGAAACTTACTTCTTGTCAAACTCAGAGACAGACCCTGAGCTCCACAAACCCTCAGTCCCCGCCCCTGTGTGTTCCAGTGCCTTTGCCAGGCTGGGGGCCAAGACACGCCCTGCCTCCCAGGGATATCACCTTGAGGTGGTAGATGTTATCTTCAGTGTCAAGGTCAATGCGTTGGGCCTTTTTGTTGATGGACATGACCGACAGCCGGACATCGATGGAGCCATGAAGCTTCCCCTTGGTGATCTGGGGAGGAAGCATTGGTCGGGGGACAGGGAACCTGTTTTAGGCTCCCAGAGCCATAGAGCCACCATCTCCCTCAAGCCATTCTAGGCTCAAGGGCCAGGTGGCAGGTTCACTTTCATGTCTAAGTCACACTATCAGTAGAGACTTGTCAGTCATCCTCCCATGTATAGAACACTCCTATGTCAAGTCACATCTTGAGATCTAAGAAGTCACAGATTGGGCCAGGCATGATGGCTCATGCCTGTAATCTCAGCACTTTGGGAGGCCGAGGTGGGTGGATCACCTAAGGTCAGGAGTTTAAGACTGGCCTGACCAACATGGAGAAACCCCATCTTTACTAAAAATACAAAATTAGGCCAGGCGCAGTGGCTCACGCCTGTAATCTCAGCACTTTGGGAGGCCAAGACAGGTAGATCACCTTTGAGACCAGCCTGGAGAAACCCTGTCTCTACTAAAAATACAAAATTAGCTAGGTATGGCGGCACATGCCTATAATCCCAGCTACTTGGGAGGCTGAGGCAGGAGAATCACTTGAACCTGGGACCTGGAGGTTGCAGTGAGCTGAGATCACGGCATTGCACTCCAGCCTGGGCAACAAGAGTGAAACTCTGTCTCAAAAAAAAAAAAAAATTACAAAATACAAACTTAGAAATTAGCTGGGCATGGTGGTGCATGCCTGTAATCCCAGCTACTCAGGAGGCTGATGCAGGAGAATCACTTGAACCTGGGAGGGGGAGGTTGCGGTGGGCTGAGATTACACCATTGCACTCCAGCCTGGGCAACAAAAGCAAAACTCCATCTCAAAAAAAAAAAAAAAAAAGTCACAGATCAAGAAAAACGATTCCCATCCTCAGGGATCTGCAGGGTTGTGGAAGGCAACACCCTCTGGGAGAGATCCTGGGCGCCCAGGCCTTCAGTTCCTTGTTCCCAGATTGAGAATGGGACCAGGATGAGGGTGGTAAAGCCCCTCTTGGGCACTTATTCTGCCCTGTCCAGAGAGCCTTGTGTGTTTGACCTCCCTTAGCATGACAGCTCTGCCTCTAGGGGATGGTACTCTCTGACTAGAGAGGAGGAAGCCACAGCCCAGGGACGTAACTTGCCCAAGATCACACATTCAGTGAGTGGTGGACCTGGGATTCGGATCCTGCTCTGGTTGATTCCAGATACCCCGTGCCTGCCCGGGGCATGCTAGGGCCAGACTCCTCCCACAACCCCGAGCCACTGCCCAGACTCACATCTTGCCGGGTTGTTGCATAGTGAAGAATCCCGTCCTCGAGCACAAAGTATCTCTTTGATGTTGCCCAGGAGTGACAGGACCAGGGAGGCCGAGAGGAAGGACATGAGGGAGAACCACACAGATCGGCTTTTCTTTCCCTTCTCATCATGCAAACACCATTGTACTGCCCGGCAGCTGCCCCCATTCCCACCTGCCGCCACGTCTGGCCCCTCCCTCTGCCTGCGCACCCTACCTTGTGCCAGCCCTTCAGAGGCCACTTCCTCTTCTTGAGCAGGTGGCCCTCCTGCCTCTCAGGCATGACACCCTCTGTCCCCAGCCTGCCCTGAGGCTCCTCCACCACCTCCCACAGCTCAGAGGCCTGCAGTGCAGGACAGAGGGAGGAGAGCACTGGTGAGACGTCAGCCTCAGCCCCTCCCGGTCTGGTTCAAGCTTGGCCCACCCACCGCCGCTTTCCCACTCTCTGACCTGCTGAGCACTGCTGGGCTTTGTGGACTGAGCGCTCTCAGGCAGGAAGGGAGAGCCCCTGTCTTGGAAGTCCATGGAGAAGGGAGAGGCTACTCCCTGCTGAGGACGAAGAGCAGGGAACAGGGTGGAAGGGGAAGGATGTCACCTGGTCCTGACAGGGTCCTTGAAGCAAGAGAAAGACCCCCCTTAATGCAGACCTGCTATCACCTTCCCCACCTCCAACCCCTCCCGCACCCTCAGAGATAAGGGCTCCCAACACACCCTCTGCTCACCTGCCACGCCTCTCCCAACTCTGCCCCTCAGCCCCAACCCCACCCATTTTCACCCGATATGGATATTGCCCTGAGAGGTGAACTAGCACACAGCAGACGGGCAGGTGCCCAGGGAAACAAGACATATGCCCAGCCTCGCCTTGGGCACATACTCTGGGGCTCCAGGAAACATTCAGGGCTTTCTTTGGAGGCTTCCCTGGGAGTGCTCAGAGGTGAAGCAAGGGAGTGACAGAAGAGACTCCAAGAAGAAACAGAGGAGTTCAGAGACTGGACAAGTGAGACCTCCTGAATCCAGCTGCCTCGCCCTCAGTACCCCTCCACCCTGCCACCATGGCTCAGAGGCTTCTCTCCCACGATCCCCTTGCAGAAAATGCCCCAGCCTCCCACCGATTGGTCTCCATATTCTTTAGTGTTTGGAGAAACTGAGGCCTGAGATAGCCCCGACTTTCCCATGTCTCCTCCCACCAAACATGCCCCTACGATGCCCTCTTTGGACCCTCAGTGCCCACTAAAGCCTCACCAACCCATCTACCATTCCAGTCCTTGGGGCTCTGAGAAGTGCCACCCACCCCGAGAGGGCAGGACACTGGGCTAACGAAGACACTGCACAAGAGAAGAGGGGGCCCAGGACATGCCCAGGTCTGCACAGGTCCTGCAGCAGTGCCCACAGGCACCCTTGGCACCGGCCCTGGCTATCCTGGCTCCTGCGGGAGATCAATAATGCATGAGGCTCTGCGTGTGTGAGACGGGGGAGGGGACTGAGGGGCGAGGCTGGCTGAGGTTGGGGAAGCAGCCCAGATCTTCTAATGGAGCTAGCAAGCACCTGAGGAACTTAAGCCAAGAGGGGACAGGGATGTGGTAGGAACAAGTGCCCAGGAGGTCAGGGCAGAGGGACCTTGCTGCAAGAGGCTGACCTGGGAGGAAACTCCTGCATTCAGCCATTGAAAGTTCCCAAACTCTTCCGGTGTTCAGGTGTCTCTGCGCCCTTCTCCCGGCTCTGTGGGGATCCTGGCCCCTCACTGCTTGTGGGTGGAGGGGGAGGCTCTATCAGCAGGAAGGTGAGGGGTCTAGGCGAGCCTGGTGGGTGCCCCTCTCCACCTCCATTCCCACCATCTCGGAAGCAGACCCACCAGCTTCAGGTGGGAGGAAGCTCTTCTCCGGGAATGTCAGCTGCTGCCACGCAGTCCCCTTACCCCAGGGTCCATGGACGCCAGTGCTCCTTGGCCCTCACGCCGCTCTGCTTCTGAGTCACCGGCTCCGAGTCACCGGCTCCCTCCTCACGGAGCTGAGCAGTGGCAGCAGTTGCTGCAGGAACCAGGAAGGAAGGAAACGTCGGAGCCTCCCCTCTAGCCGGATCTCCCCACCTCCCTCTCTCCCCTGTCCCCTCCTCCCGCCAAGCTCCGGGCAGCCGCTCAGCTCTGCCCCCCTGCTCCCCGGAGGACTCAGGGCTAAGCAGACTGCCCTAGCATGGTTGTGGCTTGGGAGTGGGGGCACAGTCCCCACTGGGCATTGTTCCAGATAGATGAGAGGACTGGGAAACTGCTGGCTGTATGCCAATGGTGGTAAAGGATTTATTCAGACTTGCATGGCAATGACCCTGTTAGTGCCCAAGGCCAATTCCTAACTAACCCTCCCACCCCCATCTCTCGTTTTACATCTGAAAATAGACTGCAAAATTGGGAGCCAGCAAAAGTATCAGGTTGACGGTGGAGGGACAGATGCCCCCTCCGGGACCGTAAGAGAGTGCCAACAGCACAGTCAGCAGGGCCAGTCAAGTCAGGAGAGGAACAGCCAGTAGTCCCCACACTGAGGCTTTTCATTGGGGGTGATTTCCCACCAGGTCAGGCCCCACGGGGATCTGAAAACGCCTGTGCGGTCGATGACACCCCACAGCCTGCAGTGTCTGATCAGGAGCAGGCCTGGGGCAGTCACAGCTGCTGTTAAAAGTGAGCTGTAACCCTGGTCCCTTCACTTCCCTCTGCCCTTCTGCTGGAGTACTGTGCCCAGCTGCTCAATTCTAATAAAAAATCGGTTCTTAACAAAGATCTAAAATTCATTCAAATGAATGTGGCACAGACCTACAGCTTTAAGCACAGCAAAGTGTTCTGGAAAAAAGTAGGTGGAGCCTCAGGTGAGGGACGAGATTCAAGTTTCTTCTCCGACCCCGAAAGTGACATAGGCCACTTATTCCCTCCACTTCATCCTCACTGGGCTTGGTTTGTTTCAGGGTCTCACGTTATCTTTTGGGGACACCCGCTGTCTTGGCTCTATTCAAAGCCTCAGCACTGCCCTAGCCACCCCAGGAGGAAGGCGTTGTTAGCACCTGGCAGGGTTCTGGGAGGGACAAAGCTGCTAAGGAGCACTGGGCAGCACTGGCCAGACAAGCTCTGGCATCTAGGAGCCTCAAGGGCCTTTTAAGCCGCTTGCCAGTGATTGAACATCCCTGGGCATACAGCACAGGGAGAGGCACTGTGGGAAACCGGTCCTGGCCCAGGCCACAAAAAAGCTGCTGCAGATCATCCCTGCCAGACAGTGCCTGTCCAAGACTAAGGAAGTGGTGGCATTGCTTCAAGTCCAAGAAGGAATGTTGAATAGCTGGGTCACCCCTGCATCCACCCAGAATGTGCTCCAATCAAGGACGACGGTGTGCTTCGAGTTAAGCATCCTATCATCCTTTTTAGTAACTTCTGGTTCACCAAGACTTGCATGAGGCCTCCTACTCTAGAGCCCTCAGAATTCACAGAGAATCCTAGTTTCCCACAGCTTTTGTTCAGAACCATCAGACTTGCAGCTAGTAGGCACAGCTGTCAGCTGCCTTTAACAGGGCAAGCATGCACGGGATGCCACTGTGGCAACAGGTACAGGGGAAGAGGATTTTCCTAGGAAGGGAGGTGACAGTGAGGAAAGTCAGAGGACAGAGAAGCCCCTGAGAATCAGTCTATAAGAACGACAACTGTGGAAACCACAAAACAGAGGAAGTAGAATGCATTTCATTTGAGCATAAAGCAGTGCTTCCAAACTTTCCACAGCATGGCACACTCCCACGGGCAGAGAACATCCAAGCACACCAGGATGGAAGACGGGATCCACTTCTGGGTAACCTGAGGAGGAAGCTCCAGTGTAAAAATTCAGGATGCAGTCTTCAGAGCAGAGAGGGCCTGGTTCAAGTTCCTGTTCTGCCCCTTACTAAATGCATGACCTTGTGTAAGCTACTTAATTTCTCTGTTCCTTCTCTGTGAAATGGGTACCATGTTGTCAGGAGTTCAGGAACTAATACATGTACAGTGTTCAGCACGGAGCCTGGCACACAGCAGGCTCTCACCAGGTGCCATCCTCAACATGACTGCTTGGTTGAGCTACTGTGGCAGTGGCAAGTTGTGATCCAAGAGGGTGGGCTCAGGAGCCCATGCAGCAAGGGGCAGTGACCAAGGAGGCAGGGGTAATAGCCTTCTCCTTTCAGCATCTCTGCCTTGGACCTGGAGAATGGAGAGAGACTTTGCTCCTATCAGGTCTCAAGTTGGGAAAACTAAGGACAAAGCCAGTGACTAACAGCCTCCATTTGAAATGGAATCCTCCGCATCTCAGAGTGGCCTATACTTGACAATATCATTGTTAGCGAAACCCAAATGACAAATGCACTCCCTCACCCCAAGTTCTTCCACATCTCCCATGGAGGACAGCACAGCCAATAGGGCAGAGTGTATTTAAGGGCAGGGCTGGCTAAACAGGCTGGCTACGAGTCCGGAACACGGTCAGGAGGATCTGGCTTCCCATTGGCTGACACAACAGAATCCTCGCGTTGCTGTCTGATGTACTGGTCCAACAGGGTGGTCAGCTGGAGGGGCTGGTGCTGCAGCAGGGAGTGGGTCTGGGCCGTGATGCAGGTGAGGCCTCCTACAAGCTCCCCCTGCACCAGGGGCAAGCTGGGGAGCTTGGAATAGTTGATAAAGCCCTCCCTGCTGAGGATGGTGTCATCGATGCAGCCACCTGGAAGAAAACAGGATCAGCTGGGTTCCTTGCAGATGCCTTTCTTCTCTGAAACAACATTCTGACTCTAGGAACTTGCTTTCCATTGCCCTTGTCAAAATCCTGCCTTCCCCAGGACCTGGGTTCCACCGTGCCCCATGCCACTCCCACTCTCTTGGGATCGATCCCGACTTCCTCACTCTTCCCTCGGAAAACTCTTAATGTATCCACCTGGCCCTGACTCCCATTTAGTGTTTCCTAAACTTCCCTGTAAATAAGAATTAGGCAGCCAGGTGCAGTGGCTCATGCCTGTAATCCCAGTACTTTGGGAGGCTGAGGCAGGTGGATCACCTGAGGTAAGGAGTTCAAGACAAGCCTGGCCAACATGGCAAACACCATCTCTACTAAAAACACAAGAATTAGCCAGGAATGGTGACAGGCACCTGTAATCACAGCTACTCAGAAGGCTGAGGCAGGAGAATCCCTTGAACCCGGGAGGAAGGGCTCAAGTGAGCCGAGATCGTGCCATTGTACTCCAGCCTGAGTGACACAAACGAAACTCCATCTCAAAAAAAAAAAAAAAAAAAAAAAAAAAAAATCAGGCTGGGCACAGTGGCTAACACCTAAAATATCCAACACTTCTGGAGGCCAAGGCAGGAGAATTGCTTGAGCCTAGCAGTTCAAGACCAGCCTGGGTAACATGGTGAAATCCCACCTCCACAAAAAATACAAAAATTAGCCGGGCATGGTGGAATGTGCCTATAGTCCCAGCTACTCAGGAAGTTAGGGTGGGAGGATGGATTAAGCCAAGGAAGTCCAGGCTGTTGTGAGCCATGACCGGTCCACTGCACTCTATCATGGGCAATGAGAGTGAGACCCTGAATCATGGAATGGAAGGAAGAAATCGGAGCTATTGTTTAACAGGTGTAGTTTCAGTTTTAGAAGATGAAACGTTCTAGAGATGGATAAAATTCTAGAGGTTGTATAGCATCATGAATGTACTTAATGCTGAACCATACACTTAAAATGGTTAAGATGGTAAATTTTATGTTACGTGTATTTTACAATTAAAAAGTTGAATAAATATCATGGAGTGTGGAGGGGGTATTAAAATCAGATTTGCCAGGCGTGGTGGCTCACGCCTATAATCCCAGCACTTTGGGAGGCTGAGGCAGGAGGATCACCTGAGGTCAGGAGTTCAAAATCAGCCTGGCCAACATGGTGAAACCCCATCTCTACTACAAGTAAAAAAAAAAAATTAGCTGGGCATAGTGGCAGGCACCTGTAATCTCAGCTACTCAGGAGGCTGAGGCAAGAGAATTGCTTGAACCCAGGAGTCAGAGATTGCAGTGAACCCAGATTGCACCACTGCACTCCATTCTGGGCGATAGAGTGAGACTCTCAAAAAAGTAGTAATAATAATCAGATTCCTATCCCACCCCCTCCCCTACAGAGCCCTATGAAATCTTGATTTCCAGGGGACACATGCACTATTCTCTATCCCTTAAGTAAGTCAGCATCAGGGCAGTCTGGGAAACACTGGTCACTTGCCCTCAGTACTCTTGACTTGGGCTGTTTTAAATATTGTCATCTGTGTGGGTTTCAGCATCTGCTACCCCACTGTTAGACTCAATGTATTTGAATTTTCTCCCCCTGTTCCATGTCTGCCTTCCCTAGTCTTCTCTCCAGTGCAGAAGTGACCTGGGGTAATGACACAACACAGATGTCTGAATGACAGCCCTCAATAAACGTGCTGTTGACTCAGGCCCCATCCATGAAAGGATGTTCTCTCCAAGAATGTCCACGGTTTTACCAAGACAAGCCTAGCAGATGGCGGCAGGCTGCCGCAGCACCTGCCCCTCTTCACCCCACCCCTAACTGGCAGGGTTGCTTGCTCACCTAGCAGTGGCAGGAATGGCACAGTCCTTAAGATCCGTACCATCTCCTTGACCTTAGGCTCTTCACTGACCAGCAGCATGTTGTGCCCCACAAAAAGGGGCAGCAGATTTTGGTACTTGGAATCCTCCAGGAAAGGCCTCAGGACCTGGGACAGCATAAAAAAATGGCTTATCAGGGACAAGTGGAAGGAAGAGCCACCACGTGGGTCATGGGCCACATTAGGCTGAGGGTACAACCCAAGGGTGGCTCACAGAGGGGAAGAGTAAGAAGTATCATAACTGGGGAACAGATGGTGAGGTCTGAGTCTGGTGGGGATTGGGGGAACATACGCAACCCATGACAAGGGGCCCACTCCCTACCTGGTTGGGGAAGACCTTCACTAGGATCTTGTGTTTCCGCAGCCGGTGTCGCATAAGAAGCTTGTCCTCTGCGCTCAGAGCCACATTCTGGCAGACAGCTATCATTCGGTTGTTCTGGAAAACTGCTGCTATCTCCCGGCGGATTAGCCTGATGAGGCCTGTCTCCTGATGTTAGAAAGCGATGCCCAAGGGTTTGTCAGCTGTCACTTCTCCTGTCAACCTTGCTCCCTCTGTGGTAGGTTCTAGGGCTTCCAGTGATCCCCAAATGTGCAAAAGATCAGGGAACAAGTAGGATAATTGGGACCCCGACTCTAAGAGACATGTAACATCTCCCACTCCTCTAGCCTTTCACTTTCATTAGATATTCGCAGTCTTTAGCAGTGTTTTCCAAACCTGAGAACGCTCAGTTCCACTCCCCCGAAAATAGGTCTGCAGTCTGCCCCAGTCAACAGTGCTGACAATAATATTGTCAAAATTACTTCAATTATCAATCTGACACTATACTCACGTTGAATTATTTTACCAATCATAAATATAACTGTTGGCCGGGCACGGTGGCTCACGCCTGTAATCCCAGCACTTTGGGAGGCCAAGGCGGGTGGATCACGAGGTCGAGAGATCGAGACCATCCTGGTCAACATGGTGAAACCCCGTCTCTACTAAAAATACAAAAAATTAGCTGGGCATGGTGGCTCGTGCCTGTAATCCCAGCTACTCAGGAGGCTGAGGCAGGAGAATTGCCTGAACCCAGGAGGCGGAGGTTGCGGTGAGCCGAGATAGCGCCATTGCACTCCAGCCTGGGTAACAAGAGCAAAACTCCGTCTCAAAAAAAAAATAAAAATAAAAATAAAAAATAAATAAATATAACTGTTGTGCAGTGTTAGTTTAAAATTGAGACATTTGGCTGGCACAGTGGCTCATGCCTGTAATCTCAGCACTTTGGGAGGCCAAGGCGGGTGGATTGCTTGAGGCCAGGAGTTCAAGACCAGCCTGGCCAACATAGTGAAACCCTGTCTCTACTAAAAATACAAAAAATTAGCTGGGCATGGTAGTACGCGTTTATAATCCCAGTTACTCAGGAGCCTAAGGCAGGAGAATTGCTTAAACCCAGAAGGCAGAGGTTGTGGTGAGCTGAGAACGTGTCACTGCATACCACCTTGGGTAACAAAATGAGACACTGTCTCACACACACACACACACACACACACACACACAAAAAAAAAAAAAAAAAAAAAAAAAAAAGATAGGAGAGATACTCTCCCCAACTGCACCTGCTAGGGTAGCTCTCACATCCACATTTTTTTTTTTTTTTTTTTTTCTGAGAAGGAGTTTCGCTCTCGTTACCCAGGCTGGAGTGCAATGGCGCGATCTCGGCTCACTGCAACCTCCGCCTCCTGGGCTCAGGTAATTCTCCTGCCTCGGCCTCCTGAGTAGCTGGGATTACAAGCACGCGCCACCATGCCCAGCTAATGTTTTGAATTTTTAGTAGAGACGGGGTTTCACCATGTTGACCAGGATGGTCTCGATCTCTTGACCTCGTGATCCGCCCGCCTCGGCCTCCCAAAGTGCTGGGATTACAGGCGTGAGCCACCGCACCCGGCCCACATCCACATTTTTGAAGACAAGAAGGAAATTCAGGAGGCCCATCCAATCCAGAGCCCAATATAGAATCAAGTGCAGATTTCATCTTAAAGTATCTAGATCAGGCAAAGTGAAATAACCATGTGACAACGACTGAGAGTCGTACCTCACTATGGCCAGAGACAAGATTACTTTCATCCACCATCCCACCACCAAGTGACATGTACCCAAACTCCTACTTACTTCCTGTGGGGGGCTGGGAGGAGATGGCAGGCATCTTGGGTTGACGGCTGGTTTCGGAGGGATATATTCAGTCACAGCCATCAGCTTCTGTCGCTGAAAGTGCATCACACGACGGTGGCGGGTAACAGCCTTGGAGCCACAGCGGACAGTCTGGAGGGTAGGCAGCCGACCTGGGAGGGTATATAGCAGCATCCTTAGATGCAATCTCTTGGAGGCCCTAGTTTATCCTAGATAGAGAAAAAACACTCCCTAGCAAAGAAAACCACAGCTCACAGAGCTAGACTCAACACAACAGTGGGACAAGGAATTGTCTGCCAAAAATTCTCAATTTCCAAAGCTTCTCTTCTCTCAGTAAGTGACCTGTGGTCAATTACTTAATACCTTGAGGCTCCCATTTCTCCAGCTCTTCTTTTTTTTCTCACCAGGCTGGAGTGCAGTGGCATGATCTCAACTCACTGTAACCTCTGCCTCCTGGGTTCAAGCGATTCTTCTGTCTCAGTCTCCCAAATAGCTGGGTTTATAGGCACGTGCCACCATGACCAGCTAATTTTTGGACGGGGTTTCTCCGTGTTGACCAGGCTGGTCTCAAACCCTAGACCTCAAGTGATCTGTCCACCTGGGCCTCTCAAAGCACTGGGATTACAGGTGTGAGCCACTGCATCCAGCCTCTGGCTCTTCTTAATGTGCAGAAATGCAAGAAAAAAATGAGAACAAAGGAGAAAATATTTTGAACACATTAAGAAAAGAGGTGACCGGGCGCAGTGGCTGACACCTGTAATCCCAAGACTTTGGGAGGCCGAGGCGGGTGGGATCACTTGAGGTCAGGAGTTTGAGACCAGCCTGGCCAACATGATGAAACCCCATCTCAACTAAAGATACAAAAATTAAGGCCGGGCGAGGTGGCTCAAGCCTGTAATCCCAGCACTTTGGGAGGCTGAGGCGGGTGGATCACGAGGTCAAGAGATCAAGACCATCCTGGTAAACATGGTGAAACTCCGTCTCTACTAAAAATACAAAAAAATTAGCTGGGCATGGTGGCACGTGCCTGTAATCCCAGCTACTCAGGAGGCTGAGGCAGGAGAATTGCCTGAACCCAGGAGGCGGAGGTTGCGGTGAGCCGAGATCGCACCATTGCACTCCAGCCTGGGTAACAAGAGTGAAACTCCGTCTCAAAAAAAAAAAAAAAAGATACAAAAATTAGCCGGGCATGATGGCGTGTGTCTGTAATCCAAGCTACTCAGGAGGCTGAGGCAGAAGAATCGCTTGAGCTTGAGAGGCGGAGGTTGCAGTGAGCCAAAATCGCACCACTGCACTCCAGCGTGGGTGACAGAGCAAGACTCTCAAAAAAAGAAAAAAAGAAATATAAATTCTCAGGCGCTGACTAGACCTACTGAATCAGCAGCTCTGGGGTGGAGCCTAACTCTAGGGTGGAGCCTAAAAAATAGTGTGCTGTTTGTTTGTTTTGTTTTGTAGAGACCAGGTTTCACTGTTACCAAGGTTGGTCACAAATGGTGACTTAACAAGCCCTCCTGGTGATGCTGACGCATGCTAAAGTTTGAAAACCACTGCTCTAACTACTACTGTGACATCCTCTCCTATGATTCAAAGAGGAGAAAAAAAGTTACGCCATCCTCACAGCTCAGACAAGTTTCTCTTTCCTCCTCTCTTCCTGTTTACAGGCAATGCTATACAGCACTCCACAGTAAACAAGGCACTTAAAAGCCCTGAGCCAAAGTGACCCCTTCATCCTCAACACAAGGCCAAGACTAGAACTTCCCACTATCAGCCATTCCCAAGGCTGAGATGTGACCTCAGAAAATGGTCCAGATAGAAGGCAGCTCTAACAATCAGAGGGTATGGATATTTGCTGGATTAAGAGGTCTTATTGCCAGCAGCTACAAAACCTGTTAAGACTGTAGGCAGGCTAGGGACATGGATGAACCTGGAAACCATCATTCTGAGCAAACTGTCACAAGAGCAGAAAATCAAACACCACATGTTCTCACTTATAGGCGGGTGTTGAACAATGAGAACACATGGACATGGGGAGGGGAGCACTACACACTGGGGTCCGTTGGGTGGAAATGGGGGAGAGACGGGGGGTGGGGAGGTGGGGAAAGATAGCATGGGGAGAAATGACAGATATAGGTGAGGGGAAGGAAGGCAGCAAATCACACTGCATGTGTGTACCTATGCAACAATCTTGCATGTTCTTCACATGTACCCCAAAACCTAAAATGCAATTAAAAAAAAAAAAAGACTGTAGGCAGGCTTTGAAATCAAATGAAGCTGGATTTTTATTTTATTTTATTTTTAGACAGAGTCTCACTCTGTCACCCAGGCTGGAGTGCAGTGGTGCGATCTCGGCTCACTGCAACCTCTGTTTTCCAGTTGTAAGCGATTCTCATGCCTCAGCCTCCCCAGTAGCTGGGCCTACAGGTGTGCATCACCACGCCCGGCTCATTTTTGTATTTTGAGTAGAGGTAGGGTTTCACCATGTTGGTCACGCTGGTCTCAAACTCCTGACCTCAGGTGATCTGCCCGCCTCAGCCTCCCAAAATGCTGGGATTACAGGCGTGAGCCACTGCGCTCAGCGGAAACTGGATTTTAATCTCTCTTCCGCCACTTAATAGCTGTGACCTTGGCCACCCAACTGGTCTGAACTCCAGTTGCTACGTCTATAAAGAGATGGGAATGTCTTTCTCACAGGGTGCTTTAGATTTAAATGATTTAAACGATTTAAATGAGCGAACACATATAAAAACAGTTATCACAGTGCCTGGACTATATTAAGTGTTCAAATCTACTCATTAAACAAATATTTATTACCCACCTACTAACATCAAGCACCTCCATCTTAACGTCTCAGCCTAAATGTCACCTGCTGACTATGCTGAATGAACACGGTCCTGCCCTTAAGGAGTTTAATAGAGGAAACAAGCAACTAAACGAATGCAAAATTAGATTGCAATGCGGCTAAGGAGTCAAGAGAAGGCTTGAGAAGGTGACACTTAGGATGAGACATTAAGATGGGGGCATAATGCAAAGGTCTGGGCGAGGAGTGGTCCAAGCAAAAGAAACCCTGGAGACTGGCAACAGCTGGACGTTGTTGCGGTGATTACCAGAGTCTGGAGCACAAGGAACTGGATGGGGTAAGGAGGCCAGCGATCCAGCTGGGGTCAGAGATTATGGGAAGAATCAGTAGTAGAAGAGGGCAGATGAGGCCTAGAGAGCGCCGGCAAGACACGCCATGAGGACCTGAGTCACTCCTTACCCGCCTGGGGCAGGAGACCCCCTCGCAGCATCCCCGCCACGGCCGCGGCCATATCCACCGGAAGAATGGACGGAAGCCGAGCGGAGACGGAAAGAGCCAAGGATTGTGGGGTGGCGAACCCTGGGGCCGGAAGCAGTGGGCTTACCCGCCGGCTACGTTTGTAGCACGCATGCGCTGAGCGGCCAACTGAGCCTGCGTTTACCGCCCCACTCGGCGTCCAGTCTCCTAGCAACGACTCCGGCTTCCTAGTAACTGCTCCTTACTCAACCATTCCTGCCCACAACACCCCAACTTGCTGCCAGCAAAGCCCCTCCGCACCCCTCAAACTCTAGACCCTTCACATCAATTTACTGTTCTCCGACCTCACCCCAGGAATTTTCTCTGAATCAACTCCTTTTCCTCGTCTCCCAAGTCTCTTGAGTTTCTCTTTCTTCCTGCCATCCTGGGTTCCGCCATCCTTAGGGACCGCCCAGGCTGCTAGGCTCCTTTTCGTTCTTCTCCCCGCTCAGACTAGCAGCCTCTTATTTTAGTTCATGGCTGGAGGTGAGTATGGAGGTGAGACAGTGGGTAAAGCAGTTGGAAAACAGTGGGGTAAGGCCTCCAAGAATGAGGAAATGTGACTGTTGGACTCATCTTTTCACAGCTAAGTCTGCCCAGGGTCCAGAGGAAGGGGGCGTCTGCATCACTGAAGCCCTTATCACTAAGCGGAACTTGACTTTCCCTGAGGATGAGGAACTGTCAGAGAAGATGTGAGTGCATGGGGGAGGAAAGGGGTGCTAGAAGGCTGAAACACTCAGGATGACCAGGTCCCTGAGTTGTACTTATTTGTCAACTAATCTTTGTCTCTCTCCTTACTTACTCCACACATCCAATCAGTGGTAATGTCCAGTTGATTTTCCATCCTTAAAAATAATTCCATTTCTGTCCGGGCATGGTGGCTTTACGCCTGTAATCCCAGCACTTTGGGAGGCCAAGATGGGCGGATCACTTGAGGTCAAGAGTTTGAGAACAGCCTGGCCAGGCCGGGCGCGGTGGCTCAAGCCTGTAATCCCAGCACTTTGGGAGGCCGAGGCGGGTGGATCACGAGGTCGAGAGATCGAGACCATTCTGGTCAACATGGTGAAACCCCGTCTCTACTAAAAATACAAAAAATTAGCTGGGCATGGTGGCACGTGCCTGTAATCCCAGCTACTCAGGAGGCTGAGGCAGGAGAATTGCCTGAACCCAGGAGGCGGAGGTTGCGGTGAGCCGAGATCGCGCCATTGCACTCCAGCCTGGGTAACAAGCACGAAACTCCGTCTCAAAAAAAAAAAAAAAAAAAAAAAAAAAGAGAACAGCCTGGCCAACATGGCAAAACCTCATCTCTACTAAAAATAAAAAAATTGAGCCGGGCGTGGTGGCTCAAGCCTGTAATCCCAGCACTTTGGGAGGCTGAGGCGGGTGGATCACGAGGTCAAGAGATCGAGACCATCCTGGTCAACATGGTGAAACCCCGTCTCTACTAAAAATACAAAACATTAGCTGGGCATGGTGGCGCGTGCCTGTAGTCCCAGCTATTCAGGAGGCTGAGGCAGGAGAATTGCCTGAACCCAGGAGGCGGAGGTTGCGGTGAGGCGAGGTGGCTCCATTGCACTCCAGCCTGGGTAACAAGAGGGAAACTCCGTCTCAAAATAAAATAAAATAATTAGCTGGGCGTGGTGGCGGGCGCCTGTAATCCCAGCTACTTGGAAGGCTGAGGCACAAGAATTGCCTGAACCTGGGAGGCGGAGGTTGCAGTGAGCCGAGATGGCGCCACTGCACCCCAGCCTGGGCAAAAGAGTGAGACCCTGTCTAAAAAAAAGAAAAAAAAATCCATTTTTTTCACCATCTTCACTTAACTGCCTTAGAAAAGGTCGTGTTCACCTCTCTCCTATAATCCCAGCACTTTGGAAGGCTGAGGCAGGAGGATCGCTTGAGCCCAGGAGTTTGAGACCAGCCTGGACAATAGAGTGAGAATCGTATCTCTAAAAATAAAAGTAAATTAGCTGAGCATAGTGGTGCACACCTGTAGTCCTAGCTACTTGGGAGGCTGAGGCAGGAGGATCACTTGAGCCCAGTTATCTGTTGCTGCAGTAAGCTATGATCATGCCATTGCATGCCAGCCTGGGCAACAGGGTGAGACCCTATTTCTAAAACAAACAAACAAAAAATAAAGTATTTTTAATTACTGTTTTAGAGACAGGGTCTTGCTCTGCTGGCCAGACCAGTCTTGACTCCTCAAACAATCCTCCTACTTCAGCCTTCTGAGTAGCCAGTGATCATTTTAAATAACAAATCTAATCAGGCACTCACTGATAGAAACTTCCTTGGCTATTACCTCCCAAATAAAATCCCAATGCCTAAGCATGAGCTGACTTCTGCTAGCTTTTCAGCCTTATTTCTGGCCACTCTCCACAAGTGTACAATTTCCCACACTGTGTTATCATACCTTAGTACCTTACTACTCAGAGTATGTGTGGAGGGGGTGCAGGGGTAGGGCAGCAGCATTGGCATCACCGTGGAACTTGTTAGAAGTGGAGAATCTCAGCCCCTCCCCTGATCTACTGAATTAGAATCGGCATGGGCATATTAGAGTTCCACTTGAAATGCCTTCTCTCCATATCCCCCTATCTTCATGGTTAATGCCTACTCATCTGTCACCTCCTCTAGGAAGTATTCCCTGATTCCTTCTACTCTGAACTTAGTGCACAGGCTATGTACTCCCTTTGTCCCCTGTACTTGCCTCTGTTATCCACTTGTCATAGATGTTTGGCCTGCTGCTTCTTGTTTCTTTTTTTTTTTTGAGATGGAGTCCCACCCTGTCACACAGGCTGGAGTGCAGTGGCGGGATCTCGGCTCACTGCAACGTCTGCCTCCCAGGTTGAAGTGATTCTCCTGCCTCAGCCTCCCATGTAGCTGGGACTACAGGTGTGTGCCACCATGCCAGGCTAATTTTTTTTGCATTTTTAGTAGAGATGGGTTTCACCATGTTAGCCAGGCTGGTCTCAAACTCCTGACCTCAGGCAATCTGCCTGCCTTGGCCTCCCAAACTGCTGGGGTTACAGGCGTGAACCACTACGCCCAGCCCTTTTTTCCTTTTTAATGACATAGGGTCTTGCTCTGTCACCCAGGCTGAAGTGCAGTGGCACAATCATGGCACACTGCAGCCTCGACCTCCTGGGCTCAAGTGATCCTCTTGCCTTGGCCTCCCAAAGTGCTGGGATTACAGGGTGAGCCACCATAGCCAGCCTTCCCTGCTTCTATAATAGTGGTAGGCAGGGACTGTGTCATTTGTCTCTAGTAGGCACTCAGCAAAGGTTGTGGAATGAATGAATGGGTGGATGGAACAAGTGCTTTTTCCTCCATGAACCATTGAAAATGAAGGTGAGGCCGGGCGCGGTGGCTCAAGCCTGTAATCCCAGCACTTTGGGAGGCCGAGGAGGGTGGATCATGAGGTCAAGAGATCGAGACCATCCTGGTCAACATGGTGAAACCCCGTCTCTACTAAAAATATAAAAAATTAGCTGGGCGTGGTGGTGCGTGCCTGTAATCCCAGCTACTCAGGAGGCTGAGGCAGGAGAATTGCCTGAACTCAGGAGGCGGAGGTTGTGGTGAGCCGAGATCGTGCCATTGCACTCCAGCCTGGGTAACGAGAGCGAAACTCCGTCTCAAAAAAGAAAATGAAGGTGAGGAAGGATCTTTCTACAATGTCTCATCTTTGTCCCACCCCTGCCTCCACCATCCAACCTGGCCAGAGGAAGGCTTCTCTTGCCCCCAAATCGCTCCAGGAACTATAAGCTGCCATCCCCCAACTTCCCAGTTGGCCCTTAGTCCTCTCTCTCACCCTCCCCAGTGCTCATGATAGAGATCCAAGTCTGCAAGTCAAGCCAGTTTCATGATCTAGACACCACCTCAAGATGTCAAGAAGATATATCTCACATCTGATCAGAACCATTCAGCCAACTACCCCTCCTTGAAACCCCTTCCCTCCTCCCTCTCTACCACTCTCCGTGCTAAGAGACCACATGAGTGGCGCTGTAACACCATCCTTACTGACTCTTCTCCCAGGTTTCACACTCTTGCTGAACTGCAGACTGTCCGCCTGGACCGGGAGGGGATTACTACTATCAGGAACTTAGAGGGCCTCCAGAATCTTCACAGCCTCTATCTGCAAGGGGTAACTGCTTCCCCCGCCCCATCCAATCCCCACCCTTCCCCTCCCCTTGACCCCTGTGGGCATAATCTGTCTCATCTGAAAGGAGCCAACCAGGTCATCTTGCCCATTCCCTGGTGTTCAGGCAGGCAGACCTTCACTTAAACCATTCCCAGATGAAGAATTATCCTGAATTGAATTCCCCCAAAATAGATCCTGACCATGCTCTTGAATCACTGTTCTTTAGATACTTCTTTTGGTCTAGAAGTTCTTCTTGGCATCTACTCTAAATCTTTCACATTAAATAGCTCCAGCCCATTTCCTGCTTTGAAGAAGAGGAAGAGGAAACTATGAAGATTCCTCTACATCCTTCAGATCCTACTTGAAGGCTGTTTGGTGGTGGTGGTGGTTGGCTGATCTTCAGCCTTCCCCTGGTTGAATATTCCCAGCTCCCTTCAACTTTCCCCATAGGAACTTTACCCATCAATTTAATGTAGGTATACTCATTGTTCTGCGTCTGAAGGCCACCACCAAGGCCCTTACTATTTCCCTGGTGGCTTCTTGGTTTCCTTTTCTGATTCCCAGGTCACTCTTTGGTTGTGGAATCAGAAGAGTATACTTAATCAGGCTTAGATACCCCAGGTTTAGGCTGGATGTGGTGGCTCACGCCTATAATCCCAGCACTTTGGGAGGCTGAGTTGGGTGGATCATCTGAGTTCAGGCTGGCCAACATGGCGAAACCCCATCTCTCCAAAAAAAAACCCAAAAACAAAAGATACCGCAGGTTTACCCCCTTAACCATCCACCTGGAGAAAGAAAATCATCTTTCTTAAGGTTCAAGGAGTGGGATGATCCTTCCCAATGTGCTAGATCTCCAGCTGCAGTAGACATGGTCTTAGGGCTTTGTCCCTGTAACAAAGGGCCCCCCACCCATCTGATCTCAGTTTGGTTTCCCCACTTCCGTTTCTTCTTGCAGAATAAGATCCAGCAAATTGAGAACCTGGCTTGCGTCCCCTCCTTGCGGTATGTGATGCCAGGGTTCAGGCAGGGGAAGAGGGGTCGGGGGAGCCCAGCCACACCCCAAAGAACTGGTTCTGATTTCTCCAAGCCTGGGTCCTTGTCAGCCAAGGGCCAGCAAGCCTAGCTCTACTCCCTCACCCCAGAAGGCCATGTGTCCCCACGGGTCATCAGCTGCCTAGCCTGGGGGCCCCGGTGTCAGGTACCCTCCTCTTCTCCTGCAGCTGTTCCATGATTCAGCTCTGCCTTTCTAACCCTTCCTTCCCCTACAGCTTCCTGTCTCTGGCAGGAAACCAAATCAGGCAGGTGGAAAACCTCCTCGACCTCCCGTGCCTCCAGTTCCTGGACCTTTCTGAGAACCTGATAGAAACATTGAAGCTGGGTAGGAACCCACTTGCCCTGGCTCACCAAACACATCCCATGTGGGGCCTGCCCTTCCGTTTGTGCCCATTTCCCTGTGCTTGTATTAGCCACATCCCTGCAGGTCCATACTTCATCCTTGGGGGGTTCAGGGGGCAGAGTAAGGAGGTAGTGGCTTTGGAATAGAAAGTGGGTATGAGAAGCCCATTCCCATCGCATATTGGGCTTTTGGCTAAGATCAAGTGAGAACCCCATTCCCTCTCTCTTTGCTGTGTACAGATGAGTTTCCCCAGAGCCTTCTTATCCTCAACCTGTCTGGAAATAGCTGCACCAACCAGGATGGCTACCGGTGAGGAGTGGAGGGTGGGAAGAAACGTCATGCCTGAGCTCCACCTGCTAACTCAACCCAGGCCCCTCACAGCCTGCAAACCTGGGGTCACTGTGGCACCTTCTCCCCCACCTCCTACCTAGCTCATGAGCCACCACCCCTCCAAGTGTGGGTGCTATGGTGCCTGTCTTTGCATCTTCCATGCCAGGGTGCCCTCCTGGGTAACCTCTGCTCTGTCTGCTCTGCAGTGAGCTGGTGACAGAAGCCCTGCCACTTCTCCTGGACCTGGACGGGCAGCCTGTGTTGGAGCGCTGGATCTCAGATGAGGAGGATGAAGCCTCGAACGATGATGAGTTCCCAGAGCTGAGTGGCCCATTCTGCTCAGAGCGAGGTAACCCTGCTTCCCAAGGCTTTTAGCCTCCCCAGAGCCCACCTCTGCCCTGTGGGACATGAGGGAAGCTAAGAGCAGTGATGTCTAGGTAGGGGAGCCCCAAGTTCAGAGCAACATCTGGGCCAGAGCAAGGTGTCAGTCATGGGGCCCAGGCTCAGGCTCCTTCCCACAAGGGATGGCAGGGAGCCAGCCAGAGACCTCCCTGAGCCCAGGGACCCTCCTGCTGAGCCCAGGGCTCCACCCACCTTGCACCCTCCATCGCCCGGCCCTGCACAGGCTTCCTTAAGGAGCTGGAGCAGGAGCTGAGCAGGCACAGGGAGCGCCGGCAGCATGCAGCCCTGACGGAGCACCTGCTGAAGATGGAGACGCAGCCCGCCCTCACCGACCTGCCCCTGCTGCCTGGGGTGCCCATGGCTGGGGACAGCAGCCCTTCTGTCACTCCTGAGGAAGGGAAGGAGACACTCCCTGAGGCCGTCTCCTCACCCCAGGCCTCCTCTCCCACCAAGAAACCATGCACTGTGGTTCCCAGGGGCCAGCAAAGCTCTCTCTGGGGAAGGAAGGGGGCCCGAGCAGCCACAGCCCCCAAGGCTTCTGTGGCTGGGGCCCCCAGCACAACCAAAACTACGCCCAAGAGAAGCAAGAAATGATACTCTTGTGAACCTTTCTCTATGAGTGGAGTGGGGCCTGCCTCCCTTCTCAGACCCCTCACCTGTGACAGGAGCCCATTCCCAGTAAAGTGTCTCTAGGCCCTGAATATGCTTTTCTTGTCGCTCGGGGGTATCTCAGGGGAAGCAACCAGTGACGGCACCAGGAAACAAAAGACAGAGCCCAGTGAGCTGCCTTATTCTAAAGAGCGAGTCTGGAATCTTACGGGAGCTACCCACAGGGCAGGCATGACTCAGGCCTCGCGATGGCTTCCTGGCTCCTGCATGGGCAAGAAGTGGGCACCGCCTCATGGAAGATGCTGCCTCACTGCCACCCCTAGGGGGGGCCCTTCCCCGGTCCAAGCCCAGGACCAAGGAGCTGTGGTGCTAATCCTTCCCAGCAGCAGCCAGCTCCCGTCCCCATCACTCAACCATTCATAAGAATGAGGACACACCACAGGCCCTGCAGCCTGCCCAGGGCTGCCTTTGGGCCTCACTTGGCTCTCCCACCCCGACTGGACCTGGGATAAAGTTCACTGAAGAGAAAACAAAGCACATTTATTAAGGCAAAGGCCAAGTTGGCTGCTCAGAACATGGCCAGGGGGTGTGAAGGGATTGCTCAAACTTCAGTACCACCAGCTCAGGGCAGTTTGCTGCAGGGGTCCAGGCCCACCCCAGGCCAGCAGAAGCTGTGAAGCTTACAGGTAAGCCTGGCTCTCCCTCTTCACAAAGGCCTGGAAGAGGCTGCCCAGTTCCTGGAAGGGTGGGGCCCCCTCGCTGGCCAGCAGCCCCCGTACGGCCTTGAGACCTTCCTGCTCCAGATCCCTCTGTTTCTGCCGGAGCTGCTGCTCCTGATCCTGCCCCAAGGGAAAGTTGAGATATGAGTCTGGCCAGGACAGGCTTCCCGCCAGGTGAAGGGGGGCAGAGTACCACCTCACACAGGCAGGAGAAAGGAGAGACCTCCCTGATATTCCCCTGGGCAGCTGCCGGCTTTGAAGGGAGGAGCTCCTCTCCCCTCCTCTGGAATCTCCTCTACGCCCAGATTCCCTCATTTTTCCAGAGTCTATCATCCCGTCAGGGTAGCCCCATTCCTGGGGGATACCTGATCACTCTCCATCAGCCCCAGGGCTGCCTGGTGTCCACGGTAAAGGGTGTGCCGACGATCTACCTGAGTCTGGAATCGGGGCAGGGTCCGAACAGGGTCCTGTGCTCCAAAAGTTGGGGACAGCACCTGGGGGGCCTGGGCCACCCCCACCCCGAAGATAAAAGGTTTAAACACGGACCTAGAGGGGCACGGAGGTGAAAGGACAGAGATGTATCAGATCCTCTCTTCTTATTGACCTTCCCCACTCTCATTCTTCCCACCTGGATGGGTCTGGCGTGGCCGTGAGAAAGTGCACACAGGGCTGCGTGGGATCCTGGGGCAGGACGGACACCATGCTGGCGGTGGTGCGAAAGCCACCTGAGTCCATACAGATGCCACTCTCCTTGTCCCTGAGGATGCCCATCATCACCTCTGCCGTGATGCCCCCTGCCAAGGAACAGAGGGGGCAGCTATGGGAGGCGAGAGTGGCTGGCACTGCTATGGCCCTCCTAGCCCTCAGCCCCTCTACCACTCACTGACCTTGCTGTTGCCGCAGCAGCCCCTGCCCTGCCAGGAAGCGGGCCTTGGCAGCCTCCATGCGCACAGGCTGCTGGGTCAGGGAGAAGACCTGAGCAAAGTCAAAGGTGCCCTGCCCATCCCACCAGCCCTGGGCCTGGGCATGGGTCTGAAGCTCCGGGTGTTGGGCCGAGATATCTGTGCCAATGCTCAGCTGGTTGGAGATGTTTCGGGCTCCCTCTGTGGAAGAGATAGGGGAGCAGTTCATTTACCCCTAAGTATCTATTCTAAGCCAGGCACTGGGTGAGGTACTGAGAACATGGTGAAGAGAATGACCTACCCTCATGGAGCCTACGGTGTGGTGGGGGAGGCAAACAAAACAATCAGAAACATAAGCGGGCAACTGTGCTGAATGCGAGGAGAAGTACCTGCTTGCGTATAAGCAGGAAACCTGACCACCCAGGGAAGTGCAGGAAGGCTTCCCGGAGGAAGCAGCAGGCTGTAGCACGAGGAAGACTTCCAAGTGAAGGAGAGCAGAGTTCCCAGGTGGACTCATCTCCCATCTCCCTGGATGTCCAGACAGGCTCATAACTGGATCAAGCCCCTCCCTGCTGCTACCATCTCTCCCACTTCCCAAGGCTGGCAGAAAGGGAACGCCTCACCCTGGATCCTCTGCGCAGCCCAGAGCCTCCCAGCTGTCTCCAGCACCCACGCCTCAGTGCGGTCAGCCAGCAGGAAGGTGTTATGGTAGCAGAACGGTGCAGGGTCCTCCAGGCAGCTGCCCCCCTGCCCATAGCGCTCCAGTAAGCCTGTGATCACATGCAAGGCCTCCTGGGCAGAGGTGCTCCGTTCCAAAGCCAGCCTGGCAAGAGAGAGGGCCAAGGGACAGAAGGGTGACAGAGGGATCAATGGCTGGTGGCAGAAGCTCCAGGGAACAGAGGAGGCACAGAGAGGTTTGGTGATAGGGTCAAGTCACACAGCAAATCTGCTGGCACTGATCGTATCAAACACAATTATGCCAGTGGCTTTCATACTCTGTGGTTCCATGTGCTATGTGCTCTGAGGGTTCCATGAAAAGGCCTGAAACAGTTTCAGAGAGAGACCTGTGCTGACCCCCCACCTCTCCACCCAGAGCTGCTCCACTATTACTGGTTTTATAAATTGGAACTGTACATGAGATTTCAACTGAAAACAAATAAACCACTGCTCTAGTTCTGGGCCAGGAGACACCCAAAGGTGGTTGCTGCTGCAGCTTCCCTCACGAGGGCAAAGTCTGCAGAGAGGAGAAGGCTCCTGTGAACCAGGCTGCAGGGAGGGGAGGATGGGCCCAGGTCAAAACTCAGCTTCCAGATTTCTGGTGTGTCAGGGAAATGAGGAAGGGCAGGGTCTGCACCTGAGGAGGTCCATGCCCAGCAGGGCTTCCCCCTCTCTAACTGGCTCCTTCGTCCACACAGCCTCGTTGCCAATGCAGACACCATGCTCGTTGGCGCCCATCTCAGCCCCCCACAGCCAAGAAGGGCGGCTCAGAATCACAGCGTTCGTCTTCAACACCTGTTCCACCTCAATGTAGGTGCACTGGAGGTGAGGGAGGAAAAAGGAAGCGTCCACTTAGAGAAGGGCGGCACCTGACACGTGCTGGCACTCTGCCAATCACCTTATACATCCCTTCGAGGAAGGTCTCATTCCCATTTTATAGAAGAGGAAACTGAGGTAGACTGAAGCTACATAATGGGCTCAGGGCCAGGTTAGTAGACCTGAAGCTCATGCTCTTCTCACTACTTCTGGCAGTCTCCCAGGCGTGGGGATCAGCGAAGAAAGTCAGAAGAATGCCGAGATCTGCCACACCTTGCAGCAACCCATAAGGCCTAACCCACCTGGAGCCGGCTCCCAGGAGTGTGAGTGCCTGCGGGGACAAACACCACCTCCTGCACCTCGTCCCTGGGTCGGTCCGAGTTCTTGGCAAAGATGACAGCCGGGATGGCTGAGGCCGGAGGCATCGAGACAAAGCAGTCGCAGGAACACGGGGCGTCAGGGCTCGACGATGCCATCTGGGGAGAGGCGGGGTTGAGTGCGGGCCTCCTCATAACCCTGGCCACGACTCAGCCCGGGGGAGCCTCCTCCCCCTACACGTGCAAACGACGCGCAGGGAAGACACCACCGTGGCTCCCGGACGCTCGGCGCACACACCATGCACGGGTTTGCAGGAACGGAGGTGACCACTCTGCCCGGGCTCCAGGCTTGGGAGTCAGCAGGCGGGCGCTCTGAGGGGCCCGCCCCCACTGGGAGTCCCGGCCCTTCGGAGCAGTGGTGGGACCGTCTCCCTCGCTACCCCACCGACAGTCTCGCGGCCCTGCGCATGTCCAGACACCCCACCCTCTTCCGTTGAACCCTTCTCTCACACCCAATACTGTATTCCCCTCACCCTCTCTGCCTCCAAGACCCCAGCTCGGTCCCGGGCGCACCTCCTCAGCTTCGGGCCAGGGCCGTCCCATTGGGCGGAGTCTCCCAGCTGACCTGGAAGGCCTTCGGCCTCGGGGTCGGAGCCGGAACGAAGCCTGCAGCTCCACCGTTTTCCACCAGGGCGCGCGCCTGCACCACTTCCCGGAGCAGAGCGGCCACCTGGCTCCCTGCCGTACCCGGGAGCCCATTTCAGGCCTGATAAAGGCTGCTCACCCCACGGAGTCTCTCCGGGGAGCTGGAGCTGGGGGTGGAAAGGAGCCCGCGTGAAAAGGGAGACTTTGTCAGAGAGAGGGGACTTTAGGGTCATCTGGAGATTAAGGAAGAACCTCAGATACTTGACTACTGGTTTGAATCTCAGAGGCGCAATCCCAGGCTGGAGGCGCACAAGGAAGTAAGACACAATGCGGGAGTGGTGGAGGCTGGGTGCGGTGGCTCGCTCCTGTAACCCCAGCACTCTGGGAGGCCGTGGTGGGTGGATCGCCGGTACCCAGGTGTTCAAGACCAGCCTGGGTAACATACCAAGACCTCACCTCTAGAGAAAATATTTTAAAATTAGCTGGGCGTGGGCTGGGCGCGGTAGTTCGCATCTGCAATCCCAACACTTTGGGAGGCCGAGGCGGGCGGATCACGAGGTCAGGAAATCGAAACCCCGTCTCTCCTAAAAAATACAAAAATTAGCCGGGTGTGGTGGCAGGCACCTGTAATCCCAGCCACTCAGGAGGCTGAGGCAGGAGAATCACTTGAAACCGGAAGGCGGAGGTTGTAGTGAGCCGAGATGGTGCCACTGCATTCCAGCCTGGGGGAAAAAGCGAAACTCCGTCTCAAAATAAATAAATAAATAAGCTGGGCATGATAGTGGGTTCCTGTAGTCCCAGCTATTCAGGAGGCTGAGTTGGAGGATCGCTTGAGCCAGAGAGGTCGAGGCTGCAGTGACCTGAGATCACGCCATTGCCCTCCAGCCTCGGTGACAGAGCAAGACCCTGTCCCTTAAATAAATAAGGGAATATGTGCACAAAACCCATCTATCTGTCCAAGGGTGCTCAGACCCATGGAAAAAATAGCTTTGAAAGGAAATTTAAAACTTTCTAGTTCAAAGCTTTGGTGCCTTTACCTGTAGTGAAGCTGAAACCGCAAAGAAGTCTTGGCCAAAGGTGACACATGGTCATGTGCAGTTATACTCTGATCCCAAATGTTTTGATTTTCAGTTCATTTTTCTCTGCAAACCATCTCTCCATAACTATCATTAAGGCAAATGCATCTTACACCCTTTTGCTCTGTGGAGCCCTCCAGGAATGGAGGGAGGGGAGATGCTGCAAGGTTAGCTACTTCCAGGAGTTGCATTGAATCCATAGATGGCTTTGAGTAGTATGCACATTTTAGCAATATTAATTCTTCCAGTCCATCAGCACGAAATATCTTTCCATGTCTTTGTGTCTTCTTCAGTTTCCTTCATCAATGTCTTATCATTTTCAGAGTACAGATTTTTCACCTCCTTTGTTAAATTTATTCCTGAATATTTTATTATTTTGAAGGCTACTGTAAGTGGGACTGTTGATTTCTTTTTGTACAGTTTGTTGTTAGTGTATAGGAACACTACTGACTTTTATACATTGACCTTGTATCCCTTGACTTTACTGTATTTGCTTATCAATTCTAACAGTGTTTTAGTGGAGTTTGGTTTTCTTTCAAGCCTACTCTGCTAGGGTGCTGGCACTCAGGCACACTAGGATTACTGGGAAGGTGAAGGCTGTCTGATCCAATGTCCAGTAGGGGTTGTGAGGTTGCCATTTAATGTCATTCCAGAAGCAAACATCAAGGCTCTGTGCTGACAAACCTGGGGACCGGGAGCAGCTTGGAGGAAAGCAGGTTCACCTCCTGCAGTTCCCGGGCTGCCCACTGTGGGGTGGAAAGAGGTAGGAGGAGAGGCAGGGAGAGGCCACAGCGCACACCCAGGTGGCAGTTCCCAGGCTGTCTTCTCTGTCACTTTCTCATTTCTTATTTAATTCACCCACTCTAGAGGATGGGAGTAGATTCTACTTCCACTTCCCAGGAGAGGAGCTGAGAGAGCCAGCCCAGATGTTCTGATTTCCCTAACTCCTTTCTGGGCCCTCCTTAATCCTGCCAAGCACCCGATCTGAGGTGGGGTCAGAGGTGGCCTTGGGCTCTGGGGGGAGGAAGAGGGCAGGCCAGCCAGGCAGCATTTCCAGCAAGCAAGCAAGTGTCAGAGCCCCACCAAAGGCCCCCGCTAAGAATGCAGGTCAGCGGGAGGAGCTGTATGGGGAGGAGGGGCGGCCCCAGCCCTGCCCAGACTAGCCCAGCCGGCCCCACAGCTGCCCTCCTGTCCCTGGGGGCAGCGAAGTGGGTAAAGGAGGATGGGACTCACCAAGTTCCTGGGGTCTAACTCCCCTGGAACCAGGAAGACAAAAGAGGCACCCGGAGGAGTGGGGCTGTCATGAGGTCTCAGGAAAATATACCCGTCCCTTCTTCTCCCAGGCTTCTAAATCCAGCAGCAGATGGAAACAAACAACTGGCTCCCAAACCAGTCTGATTTCCTCTATGACCCCTAAATCATTCATTCTGATACTGCCATCCTAAGGTGGCCATAAACATGTGATCCCAGAATCTCCCAAAATAAGTTATGGGTTAGGCCAGGCTGAGTACCAGATTTGGGTTCGAAAAATTGGATTAGGGTTAGAGTGGTAGATATAGAAATCCCACTTGGAGGGCCGGGTGCGGTGGCTCAAGCCTGTAATCCCAGCACTTTGGGAGGCTGAGGCGGGTGGATCATGAGATCATGAGATCAAGAGATCGAGACCATCCTGGTCAACAAGGTGAAACCCTGTCTCTACTAAAAAAAAAATACAAAAATTAGCTGGGCACGGTGGTGAGTGCCTGTAGTCCCAGCTACTCGGGAGGCTGAGGCAGGAGAATTGCCTGAACCCAGGAGGCGGAGGTTGCGGTGAGCTGAGATTGCGCCATTGCACTCCAGCCTGGGTAACAAGAGTGAAACTACGTCTCAAAAAAAAAAAAAAGAAAAAAAAAAAGAAATCCCACTAGGGATAATAATAATTTTGGCAAAAAGTAGAATGAGTTGGTGAAAGAACAGTAACCCACCCTGCCCCTCTGGAGCCTAAAACCTATCTTCTGTCAACTTTCTTAGCCTTGGGACTCTGGAATCATGAGGATTTTTTTTTTTTTTTTTTTTTTTTTTTACCCATTTGATGTGAATTAGGCACCAACTTTTTTTGTTTGTTTGTTTGTTTGTTTGTTTGTTTGTTTGTTTGTTTTGAGACGGAGTTTCGCTCTTGTTACCCAGGCTGGAGTGCAGTGGCGCGATCTCGGCTCACCGCAACCTCCGCCTCCTGGGTTCAGGCAATTCTCCTACCTCAGCCTCCTGAGTAGCTGGGATTACAGGCACCCACCACCATGCCCAGCTAATTTTTTGTATTTTTAGTAGAGACGGGGTTTCACCATGTTGACCAGGATGGTCTCAATCTCTTGACCTCGTGATCCACCCGCCTCGGCCTCCCAAAGTGCTGGGATTACAGGCTTGAGCCACCGCGCCCAGCCTTTTTTTTTTTTTTTTTTTGAGATGGAGTTTTGCTCTTGTTACCCAGGCTGGAGTGCAATGGTGCGATCTCAGCTCACCGCAACCTCTGCCTCCTGGGTCCAAGCAATTCTCCTGCCTCAGCCTCCTGAGTAGCTGGGATTACAGGCACGCACCACCATGCCCAGCTAATGTTTTTGCATTTTTAGTAGAGACGGGGTTTCACCATGTTGACCAGGATGGTCTCGTTCTCTTGACCTCGTGATCCACCTGCCTCAGTCTCCCAAAGTGCTGGGATTACAGGCTTGAGCCACTGCGCCCGGCCGTGGCACCAACTTTTTATCAAGCACTGGGACGCCTGGGAAGATGTGTACAGAGAATATTTCTGCATATCTCCGGGGGCGGGCGCACGCAGGTCCAGTGCGGGTATGTTTGTGTGCCCTGTGGTTGTGTAACCATGGCGAGTCTCTAGCTATGAGTTGCAGTAGGAGCCTTTCCCTCATACTTTCCAGCTGGGCGGGAGCCCATCAGATAGCTCGGCTGCCTTTCATCGCCTTGTCCCTGATAAGGATCATCCTGGGTGAAGAAATCGCTGCCAGTCACCCCCAGCTCAGTCACAGCCAGGGAATGGACTGACATGCACCCTCCATGGGGATGCCGTGAGGGAGCCAGTGTCTGGGAAAGGCGGGAACCAGTGTTCTTAGCAGGGGAAGGGAAGGAAGGGGCTTGTATGTGGAGGAGGAAAGTGATATCTACAAACTTCGAGCAACCACAGGAATGAGACCAGGGAGGGACAGCCCGGGGATCAACCCAGAGGAAGCACCTCCCTCCTTCTGTACCAGCCACCTCTGGGGCAGGATCAGACACCAGCTCCAACCCAACTCAGTAGACGTGAGGCTTCCCGAAGGGCTGCAGGATCACTGGGAAGCATCCACCCCACTCTGGCCCAGACCTGGTTCTCACTGCTGAGGGACACTAAGTCAAAAAGGAAACACAGCTGGAACACAAAGGAAGCATGATGTAGTTGATGACTTTATTGCATAAAAAACACAGGCTGTTTCTCCCTCCTCCTACCCCCTCAAAGTGAGTTCACAGCAGTTAAAGAAAAAATAAATTCCTACATTTTTCCTCTAGGGGGGCTGCCTAGAAAGACAGGCAGCCAAGCAGCCTAGATCTATAAAAGAGGGGAACAGAAGAAAACCTATCCAAAGCCTCCACCCCCATACCTCAGAGCCTGGGACTTCCACTGGGGGGAGCATGTGTGTCCCCTACCACCACCAACACCCATTTGGGAGTTCCTCCTTAGGATGGCCACTGGTAAAGGCTGTCTCAGTGGCACAGGGAGGGGGTGGCTGGTTTCGATGGGTGGAGGAGAAAGGCATCCCACACCCACAGTGCCCTTCGT